TCTTCCACCTGGGACACAGTCCTTCCTCGGAGGGTTTGGTCTTTTTAACAACAGCCTGTAGCCACTCCATCGGACTCAGCTTTCAGCCCTCCTGGGCTCCAGCCAATCCCTTTTTTCCAGGGATTGACAGGGGCGGCTACACCATCTCTCAAAGTGGCAGCATAGGTGGTACCCACACCCACCCTCTGCTATAGGTAACCAGCCCCGGGGCCCTATCTACTTGGGCTGCTTGCCCTTAACCGCCCACACTGCCAGCTTGTTTCCCAGAGCCTCTTCCTATGAAAACATTCTTCTGGCTTCCCCAGTTTATAAACCACTCCCCAGGCTGGTTACAGAAAACACCCTAAGCCTCCTTGCTGAGACCTATTCTCTCTGTTTTCCATCTCTCTTTGTGGAGCACTCACTCAGGGTCAGAGCTACAGTAAAGCAACTCATCCTACTCCCAGATGACCATAACTGTATCTAGTTTAGGTTTGGGTTTAGATTCAATAAAACCAAATATTGCAAGCCATTTTTGTGAGGTTTCTGCCCAGAATTGTAGAAACCTAATGAGACAGGTTGCTCTTGTCAGATTTTCACCAGAAATATCAGAAGTCTCCCAAGATCAGCTGTTCATGAGCGGTATAATTTGCAGCCAATCCAGAACCAGAAAATAAGCCCCTTTCTGTTTTAGAACCAAACTGGAATCAGCACAATTGGGATGGATTCTTGTTTAAAAAAAATTTCATAGGTTTGAATAGGATTTTGTTGTTTGGGGGTCCATCTCTCATTAAAACGGTAAAATCAGGCAGGTACAGGCTCCTTTTTGAATGAATGCCTTAAAAGTTCTGGACTTAAATCACATACATGAAACTTCTTCAGCAGAGGGCAGTTATTTTTGAGAGGCTTGTGAAATAGTCAAAACAAATGGGCCCATTTTCCAGGGGTGGAATAAAAGGAAAAAACATGGTTAATATAAATGGGCCCATTTCCGGATATAAGTGACTGAAATCTGAAGTTTGACATTCAGATCTTTGCCTATTTTGATTCAACTTCACTGAATTTCTAGGAGTATAAAATTGTCTGAAAAATAATTGGTGAACACTTCCCAACAATGTCAAAGAAAATTTTAATGCAGCTCCATTACTGATAACTTTTATTGATGAAATGATCAGTTTCATTGTTCCCATCTCCTAAATATTGAGTTAAATATTCCTTTCTCTCTCTCTGTCTCTCATCTGAACAATCCACTGGTACTATATGTTTAAGGCTTCTGTTTGTTAGGATTTAGTCATTTTGTTTTTCGGGGTTTATTTTTAGCAATTTTTTAATTCTACATACATGTCTCAAAATCAGGGAGAGTCAGGGCTTTCTCTTTGTATATACTGTAAGGACTAATGTATACTGTAATGAATAATCTCTTTGTAATGTTCAGTAGTGCACTTTAACATTGTACAGTTTCAAACAGCACTACGTTAAGTGCACTAGGGAAACTTTAGTGTGCAAGAGCAGGCTGTACATGGACTAATCAATGTGCAACACATTAGTACACTTTAGAAATCCCATCCCCTGCTCCATGTGGACTAGCCCTTGTCTCATAATACTCTTTTTTGCATCTGAGAGGCTTTTTCTTGGCACCTTTTAACAGCTTCACCAACTGTACTAAGGTAACCAACTAATATTGTTACATAGTCCATTGCATTCAAATATTTCTTCTGAATATCTGTCCCATTTCAGATATTTGCTCAACTGGTAAGCTCAAAATGCCCAACAACACCTTATGAAGTGTGTAACCAGTCAATGACTGGACACTACCCTGCTAAGGCATCATAAAATAGGGAAGCAACCTATCGCAATTTATCTGATTTGTCCCTACAAAAGATGCCAGCATGGATGAGTGTCTGGTTTAAGCACTCCACTACCCTAGCTGATTGCAGGTGGAATGGAGTTGTTCAAGTCTTGTGTATTTCTGGCAACCTGCACAACACACAAAATAACCTTGATTCAAATGTTGACGTTAATCAGTGTTTATGGAACATGGGCCCCAAATCTGCAGACAGATTTTTCAATAAAAATACTGGTAACAAATTGAGCTTCCTGGTTGAGTAGACTTCTGCCTATTTTGAAAAGTAATCTGCTCCAACAATATATTATAACAATTGCCTCTTTCAGTATATGGCAATGGATCTTCCAGTCTGTGGCAAAACATAGGTGCTTTGGGTGTAGTATTTGCCATTTTTCTAGTGCCACAAAGAACACAAGACTTGTACCACTTTTTTGCCAACTTGACCAGAAATAGCAGCTCTAAACATTTTGGGTGAGTTTTTCTATTCCAAGATGCTACTTTAAAAAGAAGCAAAGAGAATCTTCAATAGCCCTCACATTGCTCTTGTCTCGGGGTGGTGCAATCCATTGTCCTACATCATGGTTCAACAGAGAAAGTACTAGTTGGACAGGCCTCATATGCTCATCTGTCTTTGTTACCATGGTTCTTAAAACCTCTTGACAGGAAATAAATCAATGGAGACATGTCCGTCCGACTGACAGGTAGCTGGCACAAACAGTACAATACAAGAATGCTTTCACTTAAAGCTGCACTTTATTTCAGTCTCAAGCACTTACACATGTCTGCAACAGATTAGTAAAACAACCCAAAAATAAATAATTACCGAAGTCTGGAGCAGTCTTCGAGGGGTACAACAGCTGTCCAGTTGGCCCATCTTTCAGCTGCCATTGGGGACCCTAAACTGCGTCCCTGAAAAGTCCCTGAAGAGACCACCCTCCCAATTCCCCCATTTATTTATTTGGGTTAGTGTAATAATAACATGTCAATAAAATAACTTGTTAAGCAAACAATTTCAAAGGTTCAGCAAGAGGTTTCTCTTAAACCATCAGTTAGACAGATGCGTTTTTGAAGAGCCCACATATAGGGCCAAATGTATGGGCAGGCGACCCAGGTGACCACCTGGAGTGCCAGGCTCAGGGTGAAAAGAAAAGGAGTACTTGTGGCACCTTAGAGACTAACCAATTTATTTGAGCATGAGCTTTCGTGAGCTACAGCTCACTTCATCGGATGCATACCGTGGAAACTGCAGCAGACTTTATATACACACAGAGAATATGAAACAATATATTGTTTTTTTGTTGTTAGAAACAAAAGGGAAAATAGAACGTTTGAAGTCAAATATTTCAGGTATTCTGTATAGTGAAAAATGAATCCACAACCTCCTAGAATGTTCTGGACCTTTGTAGAATCTCATGGAACCTTCCAGACTTTCTGAGAACTACATTTTCCTCAAACCTCCTAGAATGTTGTCAGTCATGCCCTCATAGGTATATAAGGGTTGGTGCGTCGCCAGTCAATCAGTGAGATATAAGAACAAACTGAAATGAGAGTCCAGCTGTGATATTGAAAACCTTGTTTTATTGTGTAATTGTGAAATTGTACTTGTGTTTTAAGACTTGAACTTCAAGAGAGACCATAGGTGCCGACTCCATGGGTGCTCCGGGGCTGGAGTATCGTGGAAAAAAAGTACGCTGTCAGCTCCACCCGCCTACCACAGATCAGCTGTTCCGCGGCGGGCAGGAAGCACCGGGGAGGATCAAGAGTGGAGCACGCTCGGAGGAGGTGGTGGAACGGGGGCACACCCCTTCCCCTCCCCCAGCACATTAGAAAGTCAGCACCTATGAGAGAGACTGACATCGCTTGCTATTGTATTGTTTGAAAGGCGAGAAAAGCGACCTTTTGAACTAAAGGACTATGGTTAACATTCTAAGTCTGTCACCTACTGTAACACTGTTTAATACTGGTCCTCCACCCAGTGTTAGTGCACAGTTCAATTTCTTGATGTTAGTACACTTCAGTGCTTAAAATTAAATGTTTCTATAAGCTTAGAAGAAATATTTCTTTATTTGCTTATATATGGCATGAATAAATACAGATGTACATACAGATCCTAGCATGCAAATTTATCATCTTATATGACGGATAAATCATACATGCAAATCATGCATCAAAGTCGTGAAATGGGCTACAAATGCAATAAAAAATAAGGTATTCAAAAGTTTAAACAATGGGGGGGCACCAAAGATGCTCATCACCTGGGGCACCATTTGGTCTAGGGCCGGCTCTGCCCACATGTTTTGAGGACCCTGACAAACACATTCCAAAGGGCAGGTATAGATAAGCTTCCTGTTTTTCTAAAATACATACCTCAGCAATTTCAACAGAGATCTTATCAGGAAGGACACAGGGTGTCCCCCTCGACCCTCTTCTCCTCCTAGCTTCTTGCTTAGCAGGCCTCTGCAACAGGCTTAGCATATCTGAGACCTAGTGATTTAGCTGCTTTGGGCAATAAGCATGATCATGGATATTCTAATTATCAGTAGTGGTCCAGGCATTTTGCTGGTCCACCAAAATCTCCCCATACATATTGAGTCTGCAAATGCAAGGGGCATGATCCTGTGAGGTGCTACTGCTACCCATATGAATATGGCAACCAGAATTTGGCCCTTGTAGCAGTCATTTTCAAAGGAGTCTAAGGGGATTGGGTACTTAATTTCCATTGTAAGTCAGTAAGAGTAGTAAGGGTTCCTGACTCCTGTAGGGTCTTTTCAAAATCCCAGGTTATATTAGAGCAGGCCCACTATGTGAAGAGCCCATGAGGTCTCAACCGGAGTAGCAGCTGAATTTGACTGAATGAAGTAGAGCGGAATTTTCAGAAAAGTTCAGTGTTGGCCTAATTCTGTTTCTGTTGAAGCCAGTGGTAAATATCTCATTGATTTCAAAGGAAGTAGAGTTAAAAGAGTGCTGAACACTTTGGAAAAATCCCACCTTCAGAGCTCTGTTCATCCAGCTTTGGCCCTTGCATTTGACCAGCCCCCTGGCTTCAGGGGTCAGTCTGTATACAAGAAAGCTGCTTAATGCTCAATAACCTTTGCAGAGTTTGGAATTTCACTCTTTACTTAAATCACTAACTGGACTGACTTTCTTGCTAAACTGGACTGCTGGGCTTTCAGACAGCATGAGATCCATAGACTTCTCTGTCAACCTGTTACATAAGCTTGGTTTGACAAGCCAGGCATTGCCGCTTTCACTGTGTGTTGCAATCGTCACTTATTCACTGAATGGGGATTAGCAAATGACTGGGGAGGAGAATAAATTATTTTGCAGTCACCTGATAGTTTAAATACTATAGTATAGGTAAGGTCTATGCAGTAGCTAATCTGACAGGCATTAGTGCTTCATGCTGCTAATTTCTGCTGACAAACACTGATCATATTTTTATTACACCCTTGCATTTCACCCTGTGCAGCAAATTACTTATTGAAAGGCAATGGAGTGGACAGATCCCATTTCCATATTTTTACTTTTTGTCCTGACTGTTCTGTTTATTATGAAAACTGAAAAATTCTGGAATAGCAGCTTCAGAGAGGATTTTCCCCCAGGACCAAAGCCTTTACCCATCATTGGAAATCTGCATATAATGAACCTGAAGAGGCCCTACCGGACTATGCTGGAGGTAAATCTTTTTGGTGTTTGTATTGTCACATTGTTCACCAAACCACATTATCCCAAAGGTCAGAGGGTATCCTCCATCCCTTCTACCTGTCACTATCCTGATGTGTGATGCAATGTTAAATATAGGATCATTTTGCCTGACCCTGTGGAAAAATTATCCAGTGTGGGTTGAGCAAGAGAGACAGAGCTTACAGATAGAAACCTGCAGTGAAAACCTGGCCTAATTGAAGGCAGTAGCAAAACTTCTATTGGTTTCAATATGACCAGGATCTTACCTATGATGTCCATTTACTTTGGAATGTTATGGATCCCTAACATCAGTCATGTCATAGAATCACAGAATATCAGGGTTGGAAGGGACCTCAAGAGGTCATCTAGTCCAACCCCCTGCTCAAAGCAGGACCAATCCCCAACTAAATCATCCCAGCCAGGGCTTTGTCAAGCCTGACCTTAAAAACTTCTAAGGAAGGAGATTCTACCACCTCCGTAGGTAACCCATTCCAGTGCTTCACTACCCTCCTAGTGAAAAAGTTTTTTTCCTAATATCCAACCTAAACCCCCACAACTGCAACTTGAAACCATTACTCCTTGCTCTATCATCTGGTACCACTGAGAACAGTCTAGATCCATCCTTTTTGGAAACCCCTTTCAGGTAGTTGAAAGCAGCTATCAAATCCCCCCTCATTCTTCTTTTCCGTAGACTAAACAATCCCAGTTCCCTCAGCCGCTCCTCATAAGTCATGTGCTCCAGCCCCCTAATAATTTTTGTTGACCTCCTCATGTCCATGAGCCCAGCATTGTATATAAATGTTCGCATGCTTATACTTGCCACATCTAGCATAAATTTGACAGAGCTTCTTAGTAATTCTAATGCATGCTAGAAACTGACACAAAGGTCTGATTTTCAGCTGGATCTGAATAGATTCCACTTTGGGGGCACAAGTTTGCGTCAACATATAAGTCTACTCACTATGAATTCTGAGCACAAATAGAAGTTAGACATTTTACTATGCAGTTTATGTGGACAAGTTAGATGTTTCAGTACTCTAACAGCAGGTGCAAATTTGTATCCACAAACATGAATGCCTTCCCTAAAGATCAGGTTTCAGAGTAACAGCCGTGTTAGTCTGTATTCGCAAAAAGAAAAGGAGTACTTGTGGCACCTTAGAGACTAACCAATTTATTTGAGCATGAGCTTTCGTGAGCTACAGCTCACTTCATCAGATGCATACCGTGGAAACTGCAGCAGACTTTGTGAGCTTTCGTGAGCTACAGCTCACTTCATCAGATGCATACCGTGGAAACTGCAGCAGACTTTGTATATATAAAGTCTGCTGCAGTTTCCACGGTATGCATCTGATGAAGTGAGCTGTAGCTCACGAAAGCTCATGCTCAAATAAATTGGTTAGTCTCTAAGGTGCCACAAGTACTCCTTTTCTTTTTCCCTAAAGATCAGACTCAGAGGAGACAGAGTTGTGTTGTATGACCATTTCTTTGAATATTTGTCTAAATTAACCTTTTTGCCTCAACAAATTTTACAAGCAAACTGGACCAAATAGATCCCTGGTGCAACACCACTGACTTCCATGGATGAATTTGGCCCACTATGTTTAGCATTTAGTATTCAAGCCTCTACTAGATACATAGATAAAAAGTCTGAAACCTTATACTCACACTGAATTGAAATGTTTAAAATTAAAGAGAACCCTGACTTGAGAAAATATTTTTACCAAATTCTACTCTCAGCTGCAACAGCCTAACATTGGAGTAACTGCCAGGCATCCGGTTTTCGATGTTAAAAGTCTGGTTGGCAACGCAGCAGGGCCCTGGGACTAAGACAGGCTCCCTGCCTGCCCTGGCTCCACGCAGCTTCGGGAAGCAGCCGCCAGGTTCCTACAGCCCCTAGGTGCATGGGTGATGAGGGAGGCTCCATGCGCTGCCCTCACACCAAGTGCTGGCTCCCCAATCCCCTGCCCCAGCCCAGAGCCCCTTCCTGCACCTCAAACTCCTCATCCCCAGCCCCATCCCAGAGCCTGCACCCCCAGTCAGAGCCCTCACCTCCCCGCACCCCAACCCGGAGCCCTCTCCCACACCCCAAACCCCTCATCCCCGGCCCTGCCCCAGAGCCCGCACCCCCAGCCAGAGTCCTCACCTCCCTGCTTTGAAACTCCTTGCCCCAGCCTGGAGCCCTCTCCTGCACCCCAAACCCCTCATCCCCAGCCCCTCCCCAGAGCCCTCACCCCCAGCCAGAGCCCTCACCCCTCTCCCACACCCCAACCCCCTGCCCCAGCCCAGTGAAAGTGACTGAAGGTGGGGGAGAGCGAGTGACAGAGGGAGGCGGGATGGAGCAAGTGGGGGCGGGGCCTCGGGGAAAGGGCGGGGAAAGGGTGTTCCGTTTTGTGCGATTAGAAAGTTGGCAACCCTACTGCATCACCATCAATGGAGTTACACTGGTTTTATACAAGTGTAGCTGGCTCTATGGTACTGCTTATAATTAGCTAGATTCATATCTTCTGTGGTTGTTGAATAATTGCATTTTTTTTTAATTCAATTGCTTCATGAGATGCATGCAGACAATGAAATGACCAGGCCTGGCCCAAGGACTTGGAAGTCCAGGCATCTGAAAATATATCTGCAATGTAAATAAATCAGCTTCAAGTTTGGACAAAACAAATCTGTGAAATACTTCTTGCAAATAGACTTATGGGGGTGTGTGTACATATAAACAATGCAAATATTTTCAATGCTAACTAAAGACTCTGAAACCAAACTCTCCTTGCCTCTTTGAGCCAGCAGAGGAGGAGATTTGATCTGAAAAGCATGAAACAAAAGGAAAATGGTAACATGAGAAGCAGAGTTAGGATTTTAAGCTCAAAATGAGGCTAACCTGATTAACGTGTTGGGCAGCTCCTTCACCATAGAGGAGTCCTCAGACCTGCATAGAGCTAATATCTCTGGCTTCTGGGTCACCACCCCACATAGCATCTGGCAAAGAAGTGGGAGCGGGTCTGACTGGTGTGCTGCTGTGCTCCAACAATCCCGGGGAACCAATTCAGCCAGCATACTTTAAAGCAGCCCCATGACTGCTGTAAACTCTGTCTCTGGGCTGCAATAGAACCGGACCTCAGATCAGGGAGGTGCAACCAGCTCCTTTTCATTCTCTATTCCCTGCTGAGCTGCACCCTGTGGACGTTGGGTACAGACAAGAAACTGTCCCTATATTTTCATGCTCATCAGCTGAACAGATTGATTTAGACTGTAAGAGCTTTGTCACCATGACTGTATTTATGCAGCACCTAGCACAATAAGGTTCTAGTACTGATTGAACACTTTGGGAACTATAGGGTGACCAGGTAGCAAGTGTGAAAAATCAGGACACGTTTTTGGAGGGGGAATCTATTTGTGTATATAAGACAAAGCCCCTAATATCAGGACATCTGGTCAACTTAGGGCATTATGACCCAGTGGGAGTTAGACACTTAAATACCTTTGAGGATCTGGGCCTATCATAATTAATAATTAAAACATCTAATGATAGCCATATTACTAACCACTGGTTCTTTTTCTCTGCACTTAGGAAAGAATTTGACATTGGCATAACATACAGTCATGATGGCAAAATAGTGTTGAACCAGCTGTGAATTTCACTTCTTTCTTTAAGTCATTGTATTTTCTTCCCCATTTAAGCTGTCCAAAAAGTATGGCCCAGTCTTCAGCATTCAGATGGGATGCCAGAAAATGGTGGTGCTGTCGGGATACGAGATGGTGAAGGAGGCTCTTGTGAACCAGGCAGATGCATTTGCAGAGAGACCTAAAATCCCAGTATTTGCAGATACTTCAAAAGGATATGGTGACAGTTTTCTTGTTACTCATAAGCCTAACTTACTCAAGCAAGTGGAATGGCTTCTCTGTGGAGGGAGCAAATGGCTTAGGGGCTGGCATGCCAATTTGGATCAGTATGTATGTCAATCAGCATAAATTAGGAGTAACTTCAGAGAAGTCCGTGGACTTGAGGCTAAAAGTGGTGTGAGTGAGAGCAGAAACAGCCTTAATGAGCCATGAGTTCCTTAGAACTACTCATACCCCCTGTACCCATGTCTAAGGGAGACTAAGTTGAGGTCACATGCTGTAAAAGCATAAGGAGATGGACACTGACATGGCAGCATTGCCGACTTTCATGATATTGTTGTGAGTCTCATGATATTGGGTGTTTTTATAAAGCCCCAGCTCCTGGAATCATGTGAAACATCTACTCGTATTTAACATACAAATTAGTTTCTAATGCTGGTGAGTGTGTTTCAGGTTCCACACTGTGCTGCTCCACAGAGGATGTGAGTCGTTACAACCCCAAATTACAATAGCTTGGCTGTTTAGCTCAAACAGTAGCTGCTAGTGCTTTCAGCACTGGAGGTGTTTGATTTAATCCCCTTTGTATCAGCTGTGAAAGCCCCTGTTACACTAGCTCTGGTTGAGGTAAAAGCTTGAAATATGAATCTGAAAGACTGAAAATCCAGAAGGCAAGTACAGAATATACAATTTGTTGTTTTTTTAAAATTCGTTACTTTTTAAAATCTTATTATTTTTTGGGACCTGACTGGTGACTTTTAATGCTTGGGGTTGACAATATGGAAATAGTCACCTCTCTAGTTTCACTTACACCTTCCCCTGCCTCCCCTTCTGGGTCCTCAGCCACCATCATAGGCCCGAATCCTCCAAAGAGCTCCTTGCAATGGAATTCTGTGCCAATTCAGAGCTAATACCAGAACTGGAGTAATTAGCCTCTCTTAACCATTGGTGGGATGGTTGTAAATAAGTCTAGGGCAGATAATCTTGCCTATTCAGGAAAGTACATAAGCAAGTTCTTTACTTTAAGCATGTGTTTAACTCCTATTGACATCAATGGGACTTAAACTATGCTTAAAGTTGAGCATGCACTTAATACTTTACTAAATAGAGATGTCTTCCTGAATCAGGGCTTCACTGAGTACAAAGGAGTATGATTGAGAGGAAGGGAATGTACCTTGGGTATGACCTCTGAATTTGGCCCATGCTTGAGATAATGATTTTTCTGGATGTTTTTGTTAGACTGAGTGATTATAAAGCTCAACAAATATGTCTTATAAATTACAATTTAAAGAACTCAGATAAATTCTTTGATCTAATTTACCACACTGCAAAACCATATAAAATCAATATCAAAATCAAAAACCATTCTGATTACTGTAGTTTATAAATAATTTGTTAATTTATTATGGTGTGTCTTAAGGCTGGTGGAAGTGTTTCTCATTTCAAAATGTCCATGATACTGGGATGGAAAAAACATAAAAAAATGTTGATTACATTTTCACGAAAAAAATCTGTTCTATCAGATGTGCAACTGGGCAAACATTTTCAACATTCAGATTTTCAATGAAAATTTTTGTCTGAATTTTGACCCCAGAAACCCCCCAAAAACTTAAGAACAATTTCATGAAAAATTCCCTCCCCCATTTTTGACCAGCTCTAGCGCATCAAAACGAATGTTCTGGGTGTAAGGTTATATCTCTAAGAAGCATTTATTTTAATTATTCTGCTGACTTGAAGCTCTCCCTCCACTTCAGGTATTATTTTTTCTCATGGCAATAACTGGAAAGTGATGCGAAGATTTACTCTCACGACCTTACGAGACTTTGGAATGGGCAAGAGGGCCATAGAGGACCGGATTGTTGAAGAGAACGGATTTCTGACAAAGGATATTGAATCTCGTAAAGGTGGGTGTGTGTTTCACTTCACAGACACTTCTAACATTTGTTGCATGTGCCTCTGAAGAGGCACCAAGACAAAATTTGTCATCATCTCATCCAACATCCACCTTTTTAGGAAATGTCGCCATCCAGGTTGTGTTGATTTTGACATCTTTTTTTCAGCAACTGGTTGCACTGCAAAGCATTTTGTGAAGCCGTGAGATTTTTACACCACTCCATTGCTCTCTTTCTGCTGGGCACGCATGGCCTGCTCAAGCCAGCCTTTCGATCTAGAAGGCGTGAAACCATAGCCCCTCCCCTTGTTCGTCCCCAGTCGGTGGGACCTGGAAATGGAAGGCCTCATGCACTGTGAGCCATGTGACCAGCTCTATTAAACTACTGGGGCAGATGTTCCATGGACAAAATGTGTCTCCCCGTGTGCGGTTCCTCCATTAGTGACAATCTTTGATTAGTTCAGAGGCACCAGGAATTGAAATGAAAGGGACCTGCAAGAACAGAATATCTATAAAACAAACACATTTGTTTCCCTAGTTTAACATAGAGCCCTAAATGCCCTTTGTTGTAACATGCCCTAGAATAGGGGACATAGTCCTAGATCCTCAAAGATATTTAGGTGTCTAATTCCATCTGAAATCATTATACCTTTGAGGATCTGAGCACTAATATACAGTTAGTTTTCTTTTTATTCAGTATCATCCAGTATGATGACCCAGTATTATTCTTACTTGGCTTTTTACTGTGAATTGCAGAAGACAGCTGTTAGATTATTAGAGTTGGGTGTTTGTAATGACATGTGGCACTTATCTATATACAGGTTTCAGAGGAACAGCCGTGTTAGTCTGTATTCGCAAAAAGAAAAGGAGTACTTGTGGCACCTTAGAGACTAACCAATTTATTTGAGCATGAGCTTTCGTGAGCTACAGCTCACTTCATCAGATGCATACCGTGGAAACTGCAGCAGACTTTATATATACACAGAGAATATGAAACAATACCTCCTCCCACCCCACTGTCCTGCTGGTAATAGCTTATCTAAAGTGATCATCAGGTGGGCCATTTCCAGCACAAATCCAGGTTTTCTCACCCTCCACCCCCCCCCCCCCCACAAATTCACTCTCCTGCTGGTGCTAGCCCATCCAAAGTGACAACTCTTTACATAATCAAGTCGGGCTATTTCCTGCATAAATCCAGGTTTTCTCACATCCCCCCCACCCCCATACACACACAAACTCACTCTCCTGCTGGTAATAGCTCATCTAAACTGACCACTCTCCAAGTTTAAATCCAAGTTAAACCAGAACATCTGGGGGGGGGGGGGGGGGATAGGAAAAAACCAGAGGAAACAGGCTACCTTGCATAATGACTTAGCCACTCCCAGTCTCTATTTAAGCCTAAATTAATAGTATCCAATTTGCAAATGAATTCCAATTCAGCAGTTTCTCGCTGGAGTCTGGATTTGAAGTTTTTTTGTTTTAAGATAGCGACCTTCATGTCTGTGATTGCGTGACCAGAGAGATTGAAGTGTTCTCCGACTGGTTTATGAATGTTATAATTCTTGACATCTGATTTGTGTCCATTTATTCTTTTACGTAGAGACTGTCCAGTTTGACCAATGTACATGGCAGAGGGGCATTGCTGGCACATGATGGCATATATCACATTGGTGGATGTGCAGGTGAATGAGCCTATCTGATAGCGAGAAACTGCTGAATTGGAATTCATTTGCAAATTGGATACTATTAATTTAGGCTTAAATAGAGACTGGGAGTGGCTAAGTCATTATGCAAGGTAGCCTGTTTCCTCTGGTTTTTTCCTACCCCCCCCCCCCCAGATGTTCTGGTTTAACTTGGATTTAAACTTGGAGAGTGGTTTGGATGAGCTATTACCAGCAGGAGAGTGAGTTTGTGAGTGTATGGGGGTGGGGGGGATGTGAGAAAACCTGGATTTATGCAGGAAATAGCCCGACTTGATTATGTAAAGAGTTGTCACTTTGGATGGGCTAGCACCAGCAGGAGAGTGAATTTGTGTGGGGGGGTGGAGGGTGAGAAAACCTGGATTTGTGCTGGAAATGGCCCACCTGATGATCACTTTAGATAAGCTATTACCAGCAGGACAGTGGGGTGGGAGGAGGTATTGTTTCATATTCTCTGTGTATATATAAAGTCTGCTGCAGTTTCCACGGTATGCATCTGATGAAGTGAGCTGTAGCTCACGAAAGCTCATGCTCAAATAAATTGGTTAGTCGCTAAGGTGCCACAAGTACTCCTTTTCTTTTTATCTATATACAGTTTGTGAATGGTGTTTGATTTTATCAGCTCTCTGCATATTTATCCCCTTATGGCTGTCCTCTGCTGTATTCTTGAATCATACTTCTTGTGCTAAGGAGAGGGAGGCTGGTGTCTGGATGTCTGCCTCTGAATGGAAGTCTTTGACGATCATCAGTTGAATGAGCCTTGCCCTAGCAGAACAATGGGATGGTTGCAACCTAAGTAAAACCAGTTTTTCAAGTGTGGACTCTATTGAATGGTAACCACCGGAGAGAAGTCCTTGGTTACCTGAGGGAGGTTTTGAGGCTGACCAGGAGATTCACATGACAGAAGGGATTAGAAGTTACAAAAGGAGCAGGTCTCTTCTGAGCAGCTTTGTCACACCAACCAGAACTGGAAGAGAAAACTGACCTGGAGGAGTGAGGTCTATGAGAGGGGACCTGTTAGGGTTGCCAGCTTTCTAACTGCTGAAAACCAGACCCCCGAGGTCCCATCCTCACTCCCCTTCCCCTCTTCCCCCTGCTTCTGCTCCACCTCTTCTCCAAGGCCAAGCCCCCGCTCACTCCTTTCCTCCCCTCCCTCCCCCTTCCTCATCACTGGGTTGTCTCTACCTCCCTCCCCCAACCCCCAACTGGGCTCACTCTGCTCTGGGGCTGGGACAGGAGTTGTAGCCTGTCTCAGAGCCTACCTGCCTGCAGATAGGAGGTGGAACTGGCTGACCAGGGGCTGGCACAGGTTGATGACCCAGCACCTGCATCCCACCCCGAAGCCCCGGCGGTAACCAGACTTTTGGTGTCTGGTCAGTGCATCTGACCAGACACTGCCAGGTCCCCTTTTCCACCAGACTTTCTGGTTGAAAACCAGGCATCTGGCAACCCTTCCTGGGACCCTAAAAGACATTGAACAGATCCCAAAGAATGCTCAAGAGTGGTGAGGAAACTGAGGCATACAGGGAGGGGAGGTTGAGGGAGGGTACAGTTTGGGAGTGCTGGAGGGGTATGTGTGCACTGGGAGGAGGTATTGGGGAATACTGGAGGGGCTATCTGGGGGTTGCTGAAGGGAGACCTGCAGTCTCATGCCTGAGGTAGGAGGGAAAGTCGCTCCCTGTCATGGTGGCAAGGCAGCTGGCTCAGACCCAGGACACAGTGCCAGCCATCAGTCAGCACCTCCCTACGGGATTCTCCCTTACCCCAGAGTTGGGAGCCAGAGCTAGGGTTGGCGGAAACCTGCAGCTGCGGGGAATGGACCAATCAGCTGTGCCTGCAGGGGAGGGACCAGTTGGGGCCCAGAGACCTGCTGTTTCTGAGCTGCAATGTCTGCTCCGCAAAAATCCCAGACATTTCCTCTGATTTGAAAAATCCACCCACTCAGAGGGTTGCCAGGCATCCAGCTTTCGACCGGAACGCCTGGTTGAAAAGAGACCCTGGTGGCTCCAGTCAGCGGCACAGGGAGGGACCCAGGGCTAAGGCAGGCTCACTGCCTGCCCTAGCTCTGCACGGCTCCCGGAAGCGGCCACCAGGTCCTTGCAACCTGTAGGTGCATGGGTGGCCAGGGAGGCTCCGCGTGCTGCTCCCACCCTGAGTGCCTGCCCCACAGCTCCCATTGGCTGGGAACTGCAACCAATGGGAGCTGCAGGGACGGCGCCTGCAGGCATGAGGGGAGCGGGTAGAGCCTCTCTAGCTGCCTATGCACCATGGGGCTGCAGGGACCTGATGGCTGCTTTCTGTGAGCTGCAGTAAGTGCCACCAGGACCCCAAACCCCCTCCTGCACCCCAACCCCCTGCCCCAGCCCTGAGCCCACTTCTGCACCCCAAACCCCTCATCCCCGGCCCCACCCCAGAGCCCGCAGCACCAGATGGAGTCCTCACCCTCCCCCCTTCCGCACTCCAACCCTCTGGCCCAGCCTGGAGCGCTCTCCCACACCCTGAACCCCTCATTTCTGATTCCACCTGGAGCCTCTACCCTCAACCGGAGCCCTCACCACCCTCCCACACCCCAACCCCAACTCCCTGCCCCATCCCGGTGAAAGCGAGTGAGGGTGGGGGAGAGCGAGCGATGGAGGGAGGGGGGGATGCAGCAAGTGGGGGTAGGGTCTGGAAGAAGGGGCGTGACAGGGGGCAAGGTGTAGATGTTCGGTTTTCAGTGCCATTCAAAAGTTGGCAGCCCTACGAAGGGCAGAGGATCAAAAAAGAGGAAATGTCTGGGAAAACCTGGATGAATGGTAACCTTAACAGAATCACACTTCCAGAGAATGGGTACTGGACAATCTATGCCCAGGGAGCGAGCCTAGAGGCTGAAGAAAGAGACAGTGCCAGAAGACTCTCAGAGCTTAAAAGATCACAGAGCCAGCAGATGGGCCCAAACCCAGCAGCTTGGTGAGTGTCGCGAAAAAGGACTTTTGGCCTATGATAGTGGTTAAGGCCCTAGGCTGGAACTCAGGTAGAGCTGGGGTCAATGCCTGAGTCTGCCAGTCTTCAAGAAAACCACTTAATCTTTGCTTGACTCAGTTCTCTATCTGTAACATGGGAATTAATAATAATTCTTGTCTCCACCCTTTTTCCTGTCTATTTAGGTTGTGAGCACTTTGAAGCAGGGACTGTTTCTCGCTATGTGTATTTACAATGTCTATCACAACGGTGCCATGATCTTGATTTGCCGGCCTCTAGGTACTACTGTAATAGAAGTACATTGTAATAACTCACTATTAACCATGCTCTTTGCACAATCTCTTCTTGCATTTGAACACTGTTTTTAGGAAAGCCCTTTGAGATCACTACAATTATAAATGCTGCAGTGGCCAATATCATTGTGTCAATACTACTTGGAGAACGGTTTGACTACAAAAACCCCACCTTCTTAAGACTGCTAAGTTTGATGAGTGAAAACGCCAGGCTGGCTGGAAGTCCGTCAGTTACGGTAATTCTGGTGATTTTAAAGTCACTATTCAAGTGCATGCAATACTCACACCGTAACTGTGTGCTGTATACAGTATATGACATCAAATCATTTCTACCAATCAGAATAGTCCAACAAATTAGAGGACGATACATATGTCTGTCTAGCTCTACGCCCCTACGCTTACCATCATATTAAGTGGGTGTCTGCCAGATATTTATGGATTTATCCTCACAACATCCATGTGAAATATTATTTTCCTCATTTGACTGATGGTGAAATGAGGCACAGAGAGATTAAGTGACTTGCCCTAGGTTATGTAGGAAGTCAGTGACAGAGCTGGGAATTGAACCTACCTCTCCTGGATCCACACGTAGTTCCTTAATAACAAACCCATTAAACCTGTCTGAGAATAATTCATCTGAAGTACTGTGGCAGTTGTGTATCAAGTCTGGAGAACATGAACCAAACTAGCTCTGAAATGAATTCCTTAGTAGTTCATATATTTCCCAGCATGGTGGTAGTGGAAATACAGGTAATATCCTTCTGCTCCAGAAAAACTGAGTGTTTCAGTTCCCAGAGTACCAGCACCTCTAATCCCCTCTAGTGTCTCTGAGCACAGCCCCTCTAGGTCTCATGCCCTAGACCATCACCTGCCTCTCAAGATGGAATCCTGGAATTCACCCACTCTCAGACTAGGTCCTAGGTTGCACTCCCCTGCTTAACAACCACGATCACTCCAGCAGCAGGTCTGACCTATGCAGAGGCCTTGGGTATTGGTGCATCTTGATTCATTGATCACAGATTCCAAAGTGAAAGGGTCCATTGCAATCATCTAATCCGACCTCCTGTATCGCCCAGGCTGTCGAACTCCCCCCAAATAATTTCTAGAGCTGATCTTTTAGAAAAATCATCCAAGCTTGATTTAAAAATTGTCAGTGATGGAGAATCCACCACAACCCTCAGTAAATTGTTTGTGGTTAATTACTCTCACTGTTAAAAATGTACACATTATTTCCAGTCTGGATTTGTCTAGTTTCAGTTTCCCGCCTTTGCATCATATTATACCTTCTCTGCTAGACTGAAGTCCCAATTATCAAATATTTGTTCCCCATGTAGCTACTTATAGACTGTGTGATCAAGTCACCCCTTAACTTTCTCTTTATTAAGCTAAATAAATTGAGCTCCTTGAGTCTATCACCATAAGGCAGGGTTTTCTAATCCTTTAATTGTTCTTGTGGATCTTCCCTGAAATCTCTCCAATTTTTCAACATCCTTCTTGAATTGTGAAACCAGAACTGGACCCAGTATTCCAGTAGTGGTCATACCAATGCCAATTATAAAGGTAAATAATCTCTCTACTCCTACTTGATATTCCCCTGTTTATGCCCAGGATTCCCAGGATTATATTAGCTCTTTTGGCCACAGCATCACAATGGGAGCTAATGTTCAGCTGATTCTCCACCCCCACCCCCAAATCTTTGTTAGAGTCACTGCTTCCCAGGAGAGAGTCCCTTATCATGTAAGTATGACCTACATTCTTTGTTCCTAGAGGTATACATTTACATTTAGCCATACTAAAATGCAGGGCTGTACCTAGGGCGGTTTGGGGCCTGGAACAGAAGCAAAAGCTCTTCTTCAGGTGAAAGGGGCGGGGCTGGGGGTAGGCTCCCCCAGCCAGCGGTCCACACACTGCCCATGTGGCACTGGCCAATTGCGCCAACCCGCAGGGCTCCCCAAATCCCCTAGGGACAACTCTGCTAAAACGCAAAGCACTTGCTTGCGCCCAGTTTACCAAGCAATACAAATCACTCTGACCTCTTCATTATTTACCATTCCCCCAGTTTTTGTGTCATCTGCAAATTTTATCTGTGGTGATTTTATGTTTTCTTCCAGGCCACTGATAACAATGTTAAATAGTGTAGGGCCAAGAACCGATCCCTGCAGAACGCCACTGGAAGCACACCTGCTTGATGACAATTCCCAATTTACAAATACATTTGGGGACCACTCCATTAGGCAGTTTTAATCCGTCTAATGTGTGCCATGATAATTCTATATCTTTCTAGGTTTTTTATTACAATGTTGTGCTGTACCAAATCAAAGGCCTTATAGAAGTCTAAGTTTATTACTATTATCTTTATCAACCAAATTTGTAATCTCATTAAAAAAAATCAAGTTAATTTCACAGAATCTGTTTTCCATAAGTGCATGCTGATTTCCATTAATTACATTACCCTCCTTTAATTCTTTATTAATCAAGTCCCACATCAGCTGGTCCACTATCTTACCTGAGATCAATGTCAATTATCCGAGTCACCCCATTCACCCTTTCTAAAAATTGTCAAAACATCTCTGCTTGTGGCACACAATAATTTAGTCTCATCCAGGTTATTGGGCTCAATAAGGGGTAACTGGCTGGGGCCTCCCATGTGTAGAAGATCAGACTAGATGATCTGGTGTCCCTCCTGGCCTATGTCTGTACCCTGCTGTTCTGTTCCCTCCGGGGCAATGACAGTAGTAATTAGAAACCAAAAAGCCTCCTTAGGAGAAAGTATTATTTATTTAGAACAAAAAGCAATTCAGAGAAAAACCAATCTTAAAAACAAATGTTTAGGACAGTGACGAAGCTCCTCCATTCCTGTCTCTTTCTGGCAAGTCTTTCAGTGGTTCCCCAGCTGTGCCCCAGCTCGGCTTTTTTTTCAGCTCGGCTTCCACAGCTCTTCGTCATGTTGTTTTCGGGCAGCCTCATTTTCGCTTGCCTTCAGGTGTCCATCTTATTGCTACTCTGGTGATGGAGTCAGTTTCCATCCAAAGCACATGGCCAATCCATCTCCAACGCCTCTTGCTCATATCTTCTTGGCTGCACTGTGTGAATAGATCCTGGTTTGAGATTGTTCAGGGCCGAAAGATACGGAGGATTTTTCTGAGGCAGGTTAGATGGAATGAAGACAACTGGGACATGTGTCATACTTTGTCATTCCCCAACATTCTGCACTATAAAGTAATGTTGAAAAGTCTCCTGTATGCATGTCTAATTCTTCCCTAAGGCTGTCCATGCCCTGGGCCCAATTCCTTCAGACTCTTCCACAGAACCTGTCAGTATCAGCCTGCCGCCTTAGAGTAGTGACCCCCTGGACAGCCCCTGGTGACTGACCACCCCCTACCTCATCAGAGATTCAGAGAGCTTAAGGCCAGAAGGACCATAAAACTATCTAGTCTGACCTCCAGCATATCACAGAACATTAAATTTCACCCAGTTACCACTGTGTTGAACCCAATAACTTTGGTTAGACTAAAGCAGTGGTTCTCAGCCCACGGGCCACTTGTGGCCCAATCAGCATGCAGCTGCAGCCTATGTGACACCCTCAGGACCATACAGGTAGGATATCTATTGTGTGGATGCAGCCCACATAACACATAGAGAGCTGCATTTGTGACCCACAATGGTAAATAGGTTGAGAACCACTGGACTAAAGCATTTCAGTCCCGAGGAGACTAAACTGTTGTGTACCACAGGCAGAGAACAGGAGAGACCAAGGTGCCACCAATGCCTGAGGCACCTGCTGTGGCGTGGAAATGATGAGGTAGGACATGCCCAATTGATCCTAAAAGGTGACTCTCGGCTGCCAAGGAAGGTGAAATCCCACGCTTCTTAGTGGCCTTTTAAGTGTTTAGTGTCTCCCAGCTCCCATCCCAGCAGAACAAGGCCTGAGGGAGGAGGCAATATTCTTGAAGCAAGCAGTTTGGGCCATTGTCCCTTAAGTCTGTACTAGACTGTTCTTATCTCAGATGCCATTGTGTGGCTTCCTTGTTTGTCCTTCCTATAGCCCCTATTGAATTCACGCATTATAGTTTATAACAAACATTCCCCTACACTAATGTGTGTTATACAGTCCATCTAAATAACTAGGATACAAGTCAGTATTCATGGATTCTCCTACAGGATTCATAACATTTATTCCGTTTCAGCTCTCCCTTCTGTCACTACTGAATTTAAAAGAGAATCTGTATTAGCAGTAGAGCTGGTTGAAAAATGAAATGAGACTTTTGAAAAAAAATCATTTACTTGTGTTTTTTTCTGTACAAATTTGACATTTCAAGGTTTTTTTTGACAAGCTCTGGTTAGCAATATAGAGCCTCTGAGATACAGTTGAGCAGTTCTGATTCCATCCAGTGGAGGGCAGTAGTTACACATACACACTGTCCAGATTGTTACAATATATACAAAATGCCACTACTTAATCTACCTTCTGGGATACATGTTCAAGTGATAGAAAATTCATGATTGCTGGGTGGCACAATGCCAAAGGTGAAAGACCCAGGATATACAGCAGCCTCGGAATTCTTGCCCCATCCTGTGCCTCAAGACAGGCGGGGCCCCTGAGGATATGGGGCTTGTTAGCTGCTTGTACCCCCAACCACAGCATATAATCTTCCTGTGCCTCAATTTACTTATCTGCAAAATGGGCATAACGACAGTCACTTGCTTTTATGAATTGCTTTTAGATCTTTGGCAGATAAGTGCTATAGTAAGTGTTAAGTATTCTCATTACTTATTTTTGCTCACTCTGCCGTCTTAAATTCTTTCAGCTATATAACATGTGCCCAGCCCTTGGATTTCTACTCAGGAATTACAAGATTCTTTTGCACAACACAAGTGAATTGCATTCTTTTATACGGCTTACTTTCATAGAACGCCTCAAAGAACTGGACAAAAATGATCAGAGAAGTTTTATTGATGCATTCCTTGTAAGACAGCAAGAGGTAATTATGATTGCTGCAGACTTGTATGTTTCCTTGTCATATTTTATATTTAAAAACAAATTTGCATGGAAATTTAGCATTGGTAAAGTATGCACCTAACAAACTAGCAGAGTTGAGCAAAGAGATTGCTATGACTAATGTATACAACAAATTTTGGCCCCAACTTTGCAATAAGAATTGCATGAGTGGAACACTTGGCCAGCATGGAGTCCCACTGGTTTCAGTAGTTCAGGAAGTCTACCTATGCAATTCTTGCAGCAACCAGGGATCAAAATCTCTTTCATTGCTAGTTGAATATCCCTCAGTTAATTGCAATTTCCTCAAATGTATTCATTGTTTGAATTTGCTTTACAAATGTCTTTCCAAATGTTTACTTGGAGAATCCAGAAAGATTCAAACTTCTAATTGTTTTGGTTACTTGTGATTGGCCAGATTAGTCACATAGTATTTCTTCTATTACTATTTTATTATTACAATAGCACTTAGGAGCCCTAGTTATGGGCCAGGACTCCATTGCGCTAGGCAGAGTACAAAAGACAGAGTAAATAGACAGTCCCTGTACCAGAGAATTTACAGTCTAAGAATAAGACAAGAGATAACAGATGGATATGGAAATGTGAGGCAATGTGGACATGGGGAAGCACAGGGAAACAGTGAGACAATATTGGTCAGCATGATAGGCCATGGTCTCAGTAGATCAGTGGCCTAACTGCTGTCAAGCTTTCTGTAGGCATCACAGCAAAAGAGAGTTTTAAGGAGGGATTTAAAGAAGGACAATGTGTTAGTTTCAGAGATGCTTGTGGGGAGCTCCTTCCAATTGTTTGGGGCAGCATTGGAAAAAAGAGCTGACTGAGGGGATATCTGAGCCATTAGTGATTATCTTTGAAAAGTCATGGAAGACGGGAGAGATCCCAGAAGACTGGAAAAGGGCAGATATAGTGCCAATCTAGCCTGGTAAACCCCAGACTGAGGCCTTGGTGAAGACCTACAGAGGTACTGGGGCTGCAGAGGTGTAGCCAGGGGATAGGCAGAGGCAGCTGGTCCTAACCCCTTGCCAATGATGAGTGGCCATTACACTGCAGTGAGTGTAGGGGTTAGATGATGACTGGCAGTAGCCACTGAGGCAAGGTGGGTTTAGAGGGTTGGGGGTTTCTGAGAGACCCAGAGTGGGGGTACTGCTGGGGTAGAACCCCCAGGTAAAGGGGCACTGGGGTCCGGGAGGGACATGGGGCCTCAAGCAGGTGAGATACCGGCCAGCAGAGGCCGCTCCAGAGCTGGCATTGAGCTAATTCCCAAGACGACCAGCAGGAGACGCCACGCCGGTGAGTCATCACTCTGCTACAGGTTGAACATTAGGAAAAATTTCCTAACTGTCAGGGTGGTTAAGCACTGGAATAAATTGCCTAGGGAAGTTGTGGAATCTCCATCATTGGAGATTTTTAAGAGCCAGTTAGACAAACACCTGTCAGGGATAGTCAAAATAATACTTAGTCCTGCCTTGAGTGCAGGGGACTGGACTAGATGACCTCTCGAGGTCCCTTCCAGTCCTATGATTCTATGAAAACACTAGAGCGTGTGTTTGAAACTATAACACCTGGGCAATGGAGGCTGGTGTCATTAGTCAGTTGAAGCCAGGACTCGACATCTTAATAGTGAATGAGAGATGATAGGCAGGGTGGGAAATGGTGGTGAAGAGCTTTGAAAGTGAAGACCTGATAAATTTGAAAACTGGTCCAAAATCAATAAGATGAAATTCAATAAGGACAAAATCTGCATTTAGGAAGAAAAAATCAAAAGCAAAAACACAAAATGAAGAATCACTGAGTAGGCAACAGTTGTGCAGAAAAGGATTTGGGGGTTATAGTGGATCACACATTGACTGTAAGTCAACACTGTGATGCAGCTGAAAAAAAGGCAGATGTCATTCTGGGATGTATTAACAGGAGTTAATGTAAGAAGCAAGTGATAATTGTCCAGCTCTGCTCAGCACTGGTGAGGCATCAGTAGGAGCACTGTGTCCAGTTTTGGGCACCAGATGTGAACAGAATGGAGACAGTCTAGAGGAGAGCAAGAGGATGGGGAGGCACTGATCAGCAGGGCCCGCTGGCCCGGGGGAGAGCTGCTCAGCATCCACCTTCTTTTCCGCATGGGTGCTCCAGCCCCGGAGCACCCACAGAGTTGGCGCCTATGTATGGAATCCCTGTCATTGGTGGTTTTTAAGAACACAGTTAGACAAACATCTGTCATGGATGGTCTAGGTATACTTAATCTTGCCTCACCATGAGGCAATGCACTAGATGACTCTTGAGGTCCCTTCTGACTCTACATTTCTATGATTGTCTATTGGAAGCAATCAGAAGGGGAAGCCAGTGGAGGGATGCAGAGAGGGGTGTTTCCTTGGGTAGAGGGGCAAGCAGGCCACATTGAAATGCATTTTCTATGAATAGTCTTGCCAGGAAATGTCAGTATCTCAAATATTTGCAGAAAGGTTGGTATGCTTGATCAAAAGGAACCGAATTTCCTGTGGATTTTTTTTGATTATTTCCCAGCTGCCCAGACGTGTATACAATTCACGTGCATCACAAAAGAATGAGAGAATGAACTACAAATAATGATCAAGTATAAAAAGAGCAAAAAGAATAGGGCGTGATTATGGCTTAATGGGTCAAGCAATGGAGTGGGACTTGGATGATTGCTGGCTTTGCCGCTCATCTCCTGGGTGACCTTGGATAAGTCATTTAGCTTCTCTGTGCCTCCATCTCCCTATCTATAAAATGGGCATAATGACATTTGCCTCCATTATAAGCACTTTGAGATCTACTAATGATTGTTTATGAAATAGGTATTAATGTTATTAAGAGTCCATTCGCATTGCCACTGAAGCCTCTAGAACAGATACAACTGACATCAAGAAGAGCAGAATCAGTGCCCAGTAGGCTTTGCATATGTAACCTTTACTGGCCAGGACTAATTCAGTGCAGAATATTTCACCATCATAGTGTTACAATAATCACCTGTCCTGATCTCCATTGTTTGTTTAGATGCATGAGTACAGATGGTTGATTGTGCAAGATGGCAAGCTGCACATGTGTGTCTCTGAGTTTGGACTCAATCACATATGGAGTAATTGTCCTGAGCTGACTCAGTTAGGTCTGGAAGACCATGGATTGAACTGTATTCAGCATGTTAGCTTCCTAAGCCTGTGACACTCAGGCTGGTTGTGGCTGCATAGGAAAAATACACTTCTCTATGAGCTTGATTGTGGAAGGTGCTGAGCACTCTAACTGCGATCCAGTGAAACACTTAAAACATGCTTAACTTTAAGCATATTCCTGATTCCTGGCATCAGTGGCTGTACCCTTGTGCTTAAAGTTAAGCACATGCTTAGGTGCTGTGGTGAATTGGATCCAGAGTGCTCAGCACTTTTCAGGACTGATCCTTAGTAGAGAAGATACCTATATGTTTCTGAGGGCATCTGATCAAAGCCCTCTTGGTTTTTTTACATTTATTTTTTACTATATACTTTATTATTCAAAAAATATGTTTTAGCTCTCCATGTTATAACTGCCCACTGGAGTTCTTTGTGTGTTAATCTTTTGGGGGTTTTTTCAGGAGAAAAGTAATACCAATGGATATTTCCATAATGACAACTTAATAAGCCTTGTGAACAACTTGTTTGCTGCTGGCATAGAGACCACTTCCACCACGCTGCGCTGGGGACTTCTGCTAATGATGAAATACCCCCAAATTCAGAGTAAGTGATTTTGTGACAGCTGCTAGCTTGGCTGGCACGGGAGGGTTGAACAGGAAACCTGGGGAGCTAACAGCATAAATGGCTACAGCTTTTGAGTGAAAGAGTCTTGCTTGACAGCAGAGAGCTGTAACAGACTCATATCCTCAGTAGATCAGGCACAGAGTGGAACATGGAACACCCACTTACCAGTGGGTTATGCTTTTATTTCCTTAGAGCCAGATTCTGATCTCAGTTACACCTATGTAAACCTGGAGCAATTCCATTCTACTCATTAGAATTGCTCCAGACTTACACTAGAATTTTGCTCTTGATAAGCAGAACAATTCAGAGCAGAATTTAAATGGTCATAACTGTGAACACAGTTGTAATAATTGAGACCATGCAGACCTACTTGAATTGTGAGCCTAACCCATGGAAAGTGGGTGAAGGGCCATGAATTGTCACAATGACAAGTTATATGAAATTTTTTAAGAAAAGATTTAAGAAGGAGACAAATGGAATTAATTTAAACAGGAGGAGGGGGAGGAGGTCTCTAGTGGATATTGTTATGAGCATGACTAGTAAACAAGAGGAAAAGGGAACCAGAAATCAATGGATCAAAATTGTTACTTTGGAAATTAGGCCTAACTGGTGCACAAAATAATGAGAGGATGGACCGTTCTACCCACCACTCTTTTGGGGTGGACCTTAAAAAGATGCTTGGGAAATTAAACAAGGAACTTCTACAACCACCGCGGTTGCAGCAGAAGGATTTTTACCATAACACTCAGACTTTATTTCTCCAGTAGGGATGCTTGGCCATCATCACTGCCCCAGTAAGGACCCAACCTGATACATGTGAGATCTTGTTCGATCTTCCCTTCCCTCGTGTGTCTCTTTCCATCCCTCACAATCTTCCTCCTGTCATGTGTGTGTGTGTGTGTGTGTGTCTCAGCTTTCCACCTGATCCTGAAATCAATTGCATTGTACTGCACCAACATGACCTGGTGAGACAACCCATCCAGCTCTGGTTGGCCTAAGGACCAGTGAAGCAGAGGGACCTGAGCCGACCAACCGGATGATATCCTTGGCCAGGGAAGAAAGCTGGGGTCCAGAGCAGCAACTGTCATGGCCCAATCTGTCTGTGACTGACCCGCTGCCCTGTATTCTGAAAACATCAACAAAAGCTGTATTTCCCCGATCTGACCTATCTTATCTCTTCTCTCCCTTCTGTTTCTATGTGTTTTGTCAAAAGCAGGAAAGCGAATGTATTCCTGACTTAAAATTAAACAGAAATAATCCATTTGTCCCCACCAAGAAGGACTGTTTGATAGAATAAGAAATTTTAACCAGTATTCACCCTCTCAAAAATTAAAAAAAAAAAAAAAAGACGTTGACAGATTTTCATTGTTTGTTTTGCATAATCACTCCATTTCAGTTGCAGTGGTTTTTGCCTTGTTTTGATTCTTTCCCTTTTGTACATTTCCATCAATACACTTTTAATCATTGACATGAATTTCCTAATGTGCTTGCCATGGTACTAGGCAGGCCAAGGTCTCTATATTCCAAACTCCAAACCTTGCTTAACACTCTTTAATATTGGACCGTGACAGGGTCACCTTAACATCCTTAGCTCTTTGGGCTCACATATTCCATCTAACTTAATACAACAGCAGAATATGACCCTAAGTTTCTGTCTTCCTCCAAACTTGAAGACCCTCCAAGATCTTTCCACAGATAATTATTATAATTAGGGATGGTGAGAAAATTTTAAGGAATATAAAATTTTGCCTTCTCTGCCCCCACAAAAAATAGACACAGCTTTTTTGAACATATCTTTGGTGGTTCCCCATATTCCATCCAGCTCTAATTACTTGTTAAATCCCAGCGGTATGTTCATCACTGTACAAAACAGAAGACAGAGTCCATGCCCCCAAGGAACTTCCAGTCTCAATAGACAGACAAAATAATACAAGATACAAAGGAACTGATCTCACCTGTCATGTGTTGAGCTAGTTTTAGTAAGCCATGCAACAGCTTGCTTGTATGCCTTCGAGAGACAAGGTGGGTGAGGTAATATCTTTCATTGAACCAACTTCTGTAGATGAGAGTGACAAGCTTTTGAGCTTCCACAGGCCTCTTTTCTGGTCAAAATGGTGTACTCCATGCAGCGTTACCTGATACAAGGCACACGTGAGGTCACACTGTGCAGAGGTTTGTTCTACAAAGTAGAATCCTCCATGCAGGCTGGACAGAATTGTCCCACAAGCCAGATTCATCCTGCCAGCTGGGCAGCACACAGTAAGTCGGGCATGCCTTGCATATATAGACCACACACCACCAGCTCTCATTTACATCACTACAGCTCAACTGGTCTCAGTGGAGTTATTCCTGATTACAATGAGGCGAGGTCAAACTCTGGCCACCTATGTACTGAAGGACCCAGAGTCTGGTTCTATAATAAAGCAAGGTTTTTTGTTGTTGCTGGTTTTACTTTTATGCTTTTGCAGTTGCTTCCCCTAACTCATTTCTATTTGGTGGCTTCTTGCCTGAAGGCTGCTTCAGGGCACCACAGGAAAAATCCTTTGTGCATGAAATTGACAGAGTCAACAGGGAAGCCTCAGTTGCAAAGACATTGAAAACTGTTTGAAATAAAATCCTGTATTAATCACTGGTCACAGTGGCCCACAGCCTATTTGATTAAGTACAGAAGAGCATGATCTAGTGGTCTGATGCAAGCCTGGGTGCCAGGAACTCCTGAATGCTGAACTGATTGTGGCCTTGCCAGTCTCTGTAAAAATGAGGATAATAGTACTCATGCATCTCGGGATTGTTGGGAAGTTAACTAGTTAATGTTTGTAAGTGCTCTGATGGTTAAAAATAGAACTGTGCAAAGATGGAAGTTCCATTTCATGAAGGCTTTTGAGATTTCCCCACAGGGGAAAATTCCAAAAAAAAAAAAAAAAAAAAGTTTGGGGGCAATTGAAATATTTTTTTTCAACAAAATCAAAATGTTTCATGTCAAAAGTTGACATTTTAATTTTGTATTATATTATCAAATAAAATACGTAATGTAATACAATAAAAATTAAAATGTCTAGACAAAAAGTTGTTTCAGAGAGAAAGAATCAAAATATTTCATTGCAAAAATGTTTAAAATGGGACATTTTTGACATTGCCAGAACTTACTTTTCCCCAGTTTTCCTCCAGAACAAAATTTCAGCAGACTTGACACGATTTCATGAAGCATTTCAGTTTTAACAGAAGGGCATGTTCAAGCAAATATGTTCCATCAAAGTTTCTACGACCAGCTGTAGTTGAAATGACTGTATATTATTATTTGGCAGGCCAAGTAATAGGATAGGTTACCTGTGTGTTTTTGGAAGTTCTCTATTTAGTTTTGATATTGACGAGCAAATGTTTATAAGCTCTAATATTGTCAGCACCCCATTATTTCTGGAAAGAGACACAGATTTTGGAGAGCTTACAATATCACTTTAACATGAGCTTGTGCACCTCTCAAAGCCACAATGCACAGCATTTATTATAATAAATGAATTCTGATCTCTATTGTATTTTCTCAGGCAAAGTCCAAGAAGAGATTGCAAGAGTTATAGGATCAGCCCAGCCACGAATTGAACATCGAACTAAAATGCCGTATACGGATGCAGTTGTCCATGAAATTCAGAGGTTCGCTAATATCCTGCCCATGGACTTGCCTCATGAAACTACTGAGGATGTTACTCTTAAAGGCTACTTTATTCCAAAGGTGAACAGTTTGTGGTATTGCTTTTCTTGTGATCTGCGACATCGTTAAAGTCCTGGTTCAAATGATTGACCCTTTTAAGTCCTGGTTCTTTGTTTAATGTTGAATCTCATTGGAAGTCCCATGGCAGTATTTGCAATAGCATCATTCACTTACTATAGCTTAAACAGTAAGAGGGGGGGAGGGATAGCTCAGTGGTTTGAGCATTGGCCTGCTAAACCCAAGGTTGTGAGCTCAGTCCTTGAGGGGGCCATTTAGGGATCTGGGGCAAAAATTGGGGATTGGTCCTGCTTTGAGCAGGGGGTTGGACTAGATGATCTCCTGAGGTCCCTTCCAACCCTGATATTCTATGAAATGCTTATACCAAGCTTTAGTCAAGAGACCATATTGACCTATAGAATAACTCCATTGACTTGATTTACAGGGAACTTACATCATCCCCTTACTGGCCTCTGTACTGCAGGATGAATCTCAGTGGAAGAAACCAGATAAATTCAATCCTGAGCATTTTCTTGACTCCCAAGGAAAGTTTGTAAAGAAAGAGGCTTTCATGCCTTTTTCAGCAGGTACTTTCTATTTTCATTTACTGCTGTGGGGATAGATATCCAAGATTCAACAGACTATAAGATACATTTGTGAATCTTTAAATCTCATCCTCTATTTGCCCCTTACGTGGGATAATCTCTCATTTTAGACTGTACTACTGCTGAAAGCACATGTGCACGGTTGGGTACTCTAATTTGCAACTTGAGGGTGCTGTTAGAGTCCCGGCTGCTTTTAAATGATCATATATCAAGGGGAACCCAATAACTGTCTTCAGATGTTACCTAATAAAGTTGTGGAATCCTCATCAGTAGAGGTTTTTAAGAACAGGCCAGACAAACACCTGTCAGGGATGGTTTGTCTTGGTCCTGCCTGAGTGTGGAGGGGATAGACTAGATTACTGTGATGGGGTCCCTGGGTGCCACCTGGACTCTTGAACCACTGAGCCCTCTGTCCCACCAACCTGGGGTATCCCTCTCACTTTGTGATGCTATTGTCAAGCCTCAAATCTCTGGCAGGCACAGCACTACACAGACATCCACAGGCAGGGACACACCCAACTGAGTTAAATGAATGCTTCTCCCAGCCTCTCATGAACCAATAATAGGGAGGCTCCAGCCAATTCTCCCCAGTCTTGCTCCCCAGAACTGTGCCATCTTGCCCTGGTCAGAAGCCTGACCCCTGTATGTTAATTATTCAGTCTGTCCCTCCCTTGATGTGGAGAGGACACACACTAGCCTTTGTAAACTGAGCTGAGATTTCTCAAGCACTTCAACCAAAACTTTAGATAAAATGTAAAACAGATTTATTAAGTACAGAAAGATAAATTTTAAGTGATTATAAGTAGCAGGCATAGAAATCAAAGTTGGTTACAAGAAACAAAAATAAATTTGTTGTCTGAGTTCTACAAACTAAACAGGATTTGAATCAAGCAGTGTCTCACCCTGACAGATGGTACAAGCAGGGCACAGATCCTCAGTATACAGGCTGGAACTGCCTTCCAGCCTGAGATCACCCTCCCGCAGTTCGGTCTTTGTCCTCCAGACGTGTTTCCAGGTGTTGCATTGTGGGGGGAGTGCAGCCAAGTGATGATGTCACTTCCCCTCTTTTATAGTTTCTTCCAGCTTGCTGGAAAGATCTATGCTGTGACTTGGGAGGTCAGTCAGCCCCCATTGGTCAACAGTCTCCATTGCATATGTGCTCTCTCAGAAGTCTCCACTGTATACATGGGATAGTGGATTCTTTCCTTGGTGGGGGTTGACATTCACTGCTGTCTGGCTACTCCATTGTTGTACCTGAAAAGCTGGTTGTGAGTGTTCCCAACCTCACAACATATTTCAGTGACACACACATAGCAAAACTTCATAACTTCACATACAGTGACAGCACATACAGTCCAACAGGATATTAATGTTCAACAGCTCAAGACTTTTAAAATTATACCTCACAAGGCATACTGTGTACAAAATATATCCTAATTATAAGACAGTGGTGAATATGGGGGTTCCAGGGTGGTGCTTTGAAGTATAGAGTTTCACAATGACATCTCGAGCCCTACATTTCTGTAATTCTGCATAGCAGCTGTGACCCAGATGGGTTATTATCCGCCTATATCTGGCTGGGAGGTTGCGATCATTCCTTTCTAATGAGGATTTTGCTACAATCATCCATGCCTTTGTCACTTCACTATTAGGCTACTCCAATACATTCTATGGCTCCGATTAAGGTGATCTTCAGTTGACTTCAATGGGACTTAAGCACTTGCTTAAAGTTAGGCTTCAGTTAAGGACAGTGCTTATCTAGGTATGTCTACACTGCAATTAAAAACCCGTGGCTGGCCTGTGCCAGCTAACTTGGGCTTTGGCTAATGTGCTGTTTAATTGTGGTGTAGACATTTAGATTGGGCTGGACCCCAGCTCTAGAACCTGCAAGGTGGGAGGGTCCCACAGCTTGGGCTGGAGCCTGAGGCTAAAAGTCTACACTGCAATTAAACTGCTCTTTAGCCCAAGCCCTGCGAGCCTGAGTTAACTGGTTGGGCCAGCCTTGGGTGTCTAATTGCAGCGTAGACATACCCCTTTGAGGTTACACCATAAATCAACTCAGAAGCTGAAAAAAGTGCACTTACTGCATGGGCTGGTATGTTGTATGTATTGATGACATATACATACATATTAATAACATTAGCTCATTCTCATATTTATTATTTTTGTCCTCTCGATTATTTCAGTTCTTTCCTTGTGGTGTACTTGTAAAGTTTACAGAGAGTATGAACTAGGAAAGCCCCTTGTGCCAACCTGCTTCAAGCATCCTTTATTTAGCTACGTTAAAGGCCACAGCCATATATGGACATTGTACCTTAACTCATCACTATCTATCTAGGTCAGGGGTTCCCAAACTTGGTTTGTGGCTTGTTCAGGGTAACAAGCCACAGTGAGACGCTTTGTTTACCTCTTCCCAGCTCCCATTGGCCGGGAACGGTGAACCGTGGCCACTGGGAGCTGGGAGCGGCCGTACCTGTGGACCCTCAGGTAAACAAAGCATCTCGTGGCCCACCAGGGGATTACCCTGAACAAGCTACAAACCAAATTTGGGAACTCCTGATCTAGGTGAAAGTCCCAGACATATGTATGGTTTCAGAGTAGCAACCGTGTTAGTCTGTATTTGCAAAAAGAAAAGGAGGACTTGTGGCACCTTAGAGACTAACAAATTTATTTGAGCATAAGCTTTCGTGAGCTACAGCTCACTTCATTGGATGCATCTTAGTTCAATATACAGGATGTGGCCTGTAGGTAGGTCCCTTGCTTTACAGCCAAACTACTTTAACATAAACCTATAAACCTATTATAATAAAACAATCAAAACCCTAAGAAAATAAGAAAAGATATATAGGTAAGCAAGCAGACTAGCCCTATGGGCTACACAAATAGTCACAAAAATTTTGAAAGTAACTAAATGTTTTGGGGTCTTGAAGCAGACTGTTTTTCACAACATTTGGCCCTGATTCTTTTTTATTTTCAAAAGTTGGAGTTTTCTTAAATGAAATTTTTCACAAAGTCAAAATTATTTGATTTAAAAAATTCAATTCTAAAAAAATGGCAATGGCGAACAAAAAATAATCCAAACTCAAGACTGAAAGTGAAGGAGGAAAAAAAAAAAACCTTGAAAATGGTAAATGAAAAACAAAAGCAAAAGAAAACCCTGAACATTTTTTTTAAAAAAATGGGAGGTTGGGGGTCTTTGTTTGCTTTGAGGTTTTTAATTTCTCCTGGAATAGCTGCCAGGAGAATTATTTTCAAAAATATGACTGGTGCAGCCACTAATATAGTATTTTTTAAAAGAGCAAATTTGTTCCTCTCGAAAGGTTTAGACTATAATCACTTTCCATTTTGTTTACTAGTTGGTGTATTTATAGGAAGAAGTCCTGTTTTAAGTCACACTTGTTTATTCTTGAAGTAAATCCATAGTTCTACTCTGAACTAAGAAGTTTACTAAGAAGTTGTGCTGTGGTTTTTATTCCTTCTCAGAGTTAAACAAGCACCTGTTTTTTGTTGTGAATTTCATTACAGGTCGGAGGATCTGTGCAGGCGAGACTCTTGCCAAGATGGAGCTCTTCCTCTTCTTTACAAGCCTCCTGCAGAGGTTCACTTTCCATCCTCCTCCTGGAGTTACCAGCTCAGACCTGGACCTCACCCCAGCAGTTGGGTTTACCACGCCCCCAATGCCCCATAAGGTCTGTGCTGAGCCACGTTCTTAGAGCTCCTTCCCTTAGGCCAGGTCTAACTACAAAGTTTGGCAGATATAAGTATGATGGTCAGAAAATCACATGCCTGTCATAGCTAAGCCAGCAATAGCTTCCCCACCCATGTAGATGCAGCTTATATCAAGAGAAGAGTCCTTTTGATGATCTACTTGATGTTGTTCAGGGAGGTGGTTTAAGTGTCCTGGCACAATAACTCATTTTGCCAGAACATGCTGTGTCTCCACTACAGGGTTTTGCTGGTATAGTTACACTAGTGTAGCTATATCAGAAAAGCCTGTTGTGGTGTAGACTAACCCTTACTCATGTGTATCTTCAGCCCTCCCTCTGCAGACTCTGCCTGGTACACGGCCGTGCACTGGCCTTTGGTTGTGGTTTGGCCCATGATTTGTTAGGACCACATCCTAGCCTCAGTTATACCAATGGGCAACCCCATTGACTCCAATGACATTAGCAAGGTTGCACAGGTGTAACTGGGACTAGAGTCTTGTATTGTCTGTTACATTGTACAATCTCAGAGGAGCCTCCATGCCTAGCCTAGAACTTGGCCATTTGCAATATCAACACTGCTGTGCAACCAAGAGGCAATCTGATGAGGTTCAATAAGGATAAGTGCAGGGTCCTGCACTTAGGATGGAAGAACCCAATGCACCGCTACAGACTAGGGACCGAATGGCTAGGCAGCAGTTCTGCGGAAAAGGACCTAGGGGTGACAGTGGACGAGAAGCTGGATATGAGTCAGCAGTGTGCCCTTGTTGCCAACAAGGCCAATGGCATTTTGGGATGTATAAGTAGGGGCATAGCGAGCAGATCGAGGGATGTGATCGTGCCCCTCTATTCGACATTGGTGAGGCCTCATCTGGAGTACTGTGTCCAGTTTTGGGCCCCACACTTCAAGAAGGATGTGGATAAATTGGAGAGAGTCCAGCGAAGGGCAACAAAAATGATTAGGGGTCTAGAACACATGACTTATGAGGAGAGGCTGAGGGAGCTGGGATTGTTTAGCCTGCAGAAGAGAAGAATGAGGGGGGATTTGATAGCTGCTTTCAACTACCTGAAAGGGGGTTCCAAAGAGGATGGCTCTAGACTGTTCTCAATGGTAGCAGATGACAGAACGAGGAGTAATGGTCTCAAGTTGCAGTGGGGGAGGTTTAGATTGGATATTCGGAAAAACTTTTTCACTAGGAGGGTGGTGAAACACTGGAATGCGTTACCTAGGGAGGTGGTAGAATCTCCTTCCTTAGAGGTTTTTAAGGTCAGGCTTGACAAAGCCCTGGCTGGGATGATTTAACTGGGAATTGGTCCTGCTTCGAGCAGGGGGTTGGACTAGATGACCTTCAGGGGTCCCTTCCAACCCTGATATTCTATGATTCTATGATTCTAACGTCCACCAGAGAGGGAGCTGAAACAGCATAGACTGATGCAAAACACAAGGTCAAATGTCGTCTGCACTGAAATCCCCTGGATGTTGCTATCTCCACAGATGCTGACTCTGCATCTTCAGTTGTTATTACTCCCTACGTTGGTGATTTCCAACTCGGTGGGAGGGACATGGGAGAAGTGAGGAGTCTGTTCCGGAGGGAGGTGTGGTGGTGACATTCAGTAACAAAGAAGGAACCTCTGCACTCCCAGGACTGCCCCGACCTCTGAGACTATGTCTACGCTAGGGGATCACAAATGTTGTACCTTGTGTAGGAGAAGCTCATTGCACACACTAGCTGCTCCTGGCATCTCTCCATTCCCCACAAAAGCTCCTTCTGTTCAGCCTCCCATCCCGTTCTTTGTCAGGGATGCCCTGCAACCCCCACAACCTCCCCCATGTTAGAGGTTCTGTGAATCTCAGTTCCCGCTCCTCTTATACCAGGGGCCCCTATTTTCTCCTCCTGCCACAGTGGCTCTGCGTGCACCCCATGTCCTAATTCACCTCATTCTCCTCCATGGCCAGGGCTCTGTGTGGCCCCTTCACCCATACCAGCTTCCCCCAATCTCTCCCCATTAGAGGCTGTGTGCTCCCCAGGGTCCTCCATTCTTTCCCCATGGCAAAAGTTCTGTGTGCACCCCCACTCTCCTCTATGTCCCCCATTCTTCTCTATACCATGGATACTGTGTGCCCCATTCCCAAACCCCCCCATCCCCACCTTCCCCTCATGCCAGGGGCTTTGTGTGCCCCCCTTCCCCAATTCCAGGGTCCCCCATTCTCCACCCCCATGGCAAGGGCTCTGTGTGTGCCCTGATTCCCCCCTTTCCCACCCATATTCCCCATTCCCCCTCCCTCCATACCAGAGTTTTCTAATCTGCCTCCCGCCAGGGGTTCTGTGTTCCCCATTCACCCCATGCCCCCGTGATGATTTGTGGGGTTCCTAGCAATGTGAGTCACCTTATTACCCTCCCCCCTCCCACCTCCAGTGAGAGAGAGACTTGCCAGCTCCCTGACCTCTGCTTTCTCTTAGCTACCCAAGCACTCTCCGCTGGGCTATGCAGCCCCCACTTTGCCTTGCAGGTTACCAGTAGGTGCACCCCAGTCCTTTGCCGTGTTCCCCTGTGGTGCCCAGCCCCTTAGCCACTGACCACGCACAGTAACACCAGGTCTCCTGTCCCCAAGGGGCCAGCGATGACACCAGCTCGTTTGATTCAGCTCATGGTCAGCACTTAATACCATCGGAAGCATAGACGACCTGTGCCTGCTGGCAGTGGCGGGGGGAGGGGGTGCACAACTCAGGAACAGCTCAAGTCAAGACTACCCCCCCACCCTCCCAAGGCAGTCCTCCCCCATGGGAAAGCAGCAGCTGCTCAACGGCACAGCTCCCTGGCTCAGCTGCTGTGTCGGGAGGGGGCCTGGCCACACCATGTGACTGAGCAATCTGGGCAGGGCGTGACACCACATGCCCCTTGCACAAACATCACCTCTGCCAGCAAGTATAACCTGCTTTCTAAAGACTAAACTCAACTTGCCAGGCTAACCTCCAATCTTAGTAAGTTTATCTTGCCCCAAATGTCCTTTGCAGCATTTCAACCAAGCTGGTTGTGATCCTGTTTTCAAGAACGTAAACATGCTGTCTGTTTACATCCTAGGTGCAGGATGCCAAGGTGTGTTCTTTGCTCCCCAAATACACAGAAAGGCAAGGGGGGGTGTATTTTAGGACAATGGTTCTCGTCCTCTGCTGAGTTTCTCTAGCTGTTCATTCCTTTCTGAAGTTCTAACAATCCTTCATGTGACTTCAGATACATAGTCTCTGGGCATGCATTTCACAGCGATATTAACAGCCAGCCTGACCCTGCTTTCATTTAAGATCTTCCATGACACTCTTTGGTGAACCAGAGTGTACATACCAGGATCAGGATCTGCTTGTAACCCCGTTGCCAGTTGGCATTGAGGGGTTTTAGGGTTACACGCCCATACCAGAGTTCTCTATTCTCCCCCTCATGCCAAAGGCTGTGAGCACACCCCCATTTCCGGCCATTCCCACTTCACGCCAACCATTCTTCTTCTTTCTGTCTGGGGGCTTATTCATTCCAGATGCCACCATGTTAAAATCTATGGGGAGGATGGGTAGAGTTAAGAGAAATGGGTATTGTTATACTAGAAAGCATTAACTCAGCCATCCGCCAGCTGTTTGAGCTCTAGATAATTGCAGAGGTGTTTGACTGTGGCTGTACTAAAGAGCTGTCAGGGCTTCATGTGTCTCACATTTTCCCCTTTTGGTTTTATATTTTCCCCCAGAACCAATAGGATTCTGACCATTGATGCCTAGAATAGTCCCTGAAATTTTAGAATTGATTATTGTGATAGACACAGAGAAATGTCAAGTCGAGTGTAAGGCCTTCACACAGCTCTGGGTGACCCCATCACTGGGCCCTACATGACCACAGGGTCACAGCACTACTCAGGTGTGACCTGGCCACCCTTCTGTCGTGATGGAGATGCAGTAAGGCCAAATTTGAGTGAGTGGCATCGTAACCTGGCCCATGGGCTCACCGCACTGTTTAGGATTGCCCCACCTTATGAATTGGGGCCCTACACGTGTGCCTACTTGCCTATGCACTAATCCAGCCCTGCCGTCACAAGCTCAGCCAAGCAGGAAAAAGGCAAGTGTAGCTGTCCCACTCGCGTTTGTACCGCGACCAATTAACAAGTGTTATAACTACGCTTAGCTATCTCTGCACTAGGATTGCAACATTTATTGGTATGTTAAAAGTACACTTTTTTTCCTACTGCAGACAAGCCCTGAAAGAGAGAAACTGAGGCAGAGGGTAAGGCTGAGTTTTTCAAACTTTCCCAAACCTGTTTATAACCCCTTTACCAGTTGGCATTGAGGGGTTTTGGGGACATACCCCTATACCAGAGTTCTCTATTCCCCCCATCATGCCAGGGGCTGTGTGCACCCCTCACCCCCACTCCATTTTCCACCATTCCCACTCCTCAACCATCATTCTTCTTTCTGTATGGACACTAAGCCATTCAGGGTGTCAAAGGGGTTAGACAAACACCTGGCAGGAATGGTTTATTTATTACTATGTACACTTAAAGCGGGACTAAGCAATAACTAAACCATTCCAGTACACTAAAGGCTTTTAAAAAGATGCCAGAGTATTTAATGTATTAAAACTCTGTTTCCTGTACTAATTATGAAAATAGTCAATATGAAGCTAACATTTCCATGTCTTTATTGTCTTCTATCAACTCAAATATAGCGATAAATGTATATTGTTTAAATAATCAATTCTGATCACATAACATCTCAAAAGTAGAGTATCTTGTCCTAAAATAAAGATTCTGTCTGCACTTAAAGTCTGGGTCAATATGAATAATGTGATGTATTCTGAAAGAGCTGATCATCATGAATATAGAGTGTTTATAGGTTGCTATGTGGTTTTCTATAGATGATCTTCTAAAATTAAAAAGCCTGATCTAATATAACAAGTGCACGCTCTCTTTGTCTTAGGTACTTATGTGGCTATTACTGTAGAATCTGAGAACCTTGCAATCATTTTAGTGTATTTATCTTCACAACCCCTCTGTGAGGTAGGACAGTGCTGTTATCCCCACATTATAGATGCGGAATTGAAGCACAGCAAGGCTATATGACATGCTCAAGGTAACACAGGAAGTTTGTTGTAGAGCAGTAAACTGAACCCTGGTCTCCAAAGTCTCCGGTTATCACCCTAACCACTGACCCATTCTCCCTCTCCATCAGTATTTATTTATTTATTTGTAAACCTGGTTTACATTGATGAAACATTCCCATTCATAAAGTTGCACTGGTTTAGCTAAATCGGTGCAACATCACACCTATAGTGAAACCAGTACAAGGTTGTGTGTTCAGCAGATCCACATAGATTTATTCCAGCACACACATTCTTTTGGTCATCCACTTTTGGTGCAAACTATGTATTTCAGTAGAGCTATGCCCATATACACCAACAGAGGTTTTGACCCCAGATATTATTCATCAGTATCTTGCACGGCTCCACCCTGGTTTGCATCTTGTTTGTTGTTGCATCCCCTGTCTCTGATCTGCCAAGAATGCCAGCGTCTCCCTCCCATTTGGTTCTTTCTCCACTTCCCACCTTATTGCCTTTTTCTATGCTTCCCACTTTTTATGGGGCCTTTGACCAAATCTTAAACACATGTATGGTGGAATAAACATCTGTGCAGTATCTAGACTAGCATTTACAAGTGAGTTGGTTAATTTGAGTTAATTGGCAATCAAAACATTTGAGTTAAAACAGGACCACAGATTCTCAACTAAACAAGCCCACTAGCCTCATTCAGGGATCTCACAATTTAATCACTGTTAGTTTCCAATTTGTCACGCATAGGATCCTCATCAAAGAGCTACAGTTACATGGTTTGGTTTAGCTTCTAGTTTATTTGAACCACCACTAGTTCTCATTTGAATTTGTCTGGATCTGGCTTCCAGCCAGGGGTACTTGTTATGCCTTTCTTGGGTAGATTAACATTTCTCCAGCCCTTGACTAATTTTTGTGGCTCCCTTCTGCACCCTCTCCAATTTTGCAACATCCTTTTAAAAACATTCTGTTCTCTTTTCCCTGCTGCTCCCAGCCTACTAGCTCAGTGACTGTGGGATTTCTCCAGCCACCTTGCAGGGCAGGGATGCACAAAAGGGTGGACAGGATGAAGAGGAAGGGGCAGACTGTGGGCGGGGGGGCAGGGGGAAGAGCGCCATTCACCCCCACAAGGATGAAACAGGCTGATGCCTCCACCAATATTAAATCCGAAACCACATGTTTTTAAAGCTGAAGTTTGACTGTATGCAAATTCTTTTCCAATATGCAAATTAGCCAATTTGCTTAAAACATAAATGGGGCACAAGTTCCTTAACTCTTTTCCTTAGTTGGTGGCAACTCTCGAGCAAGGATCATTTCTCATCCAAACTGAGAGTATGGTCACAACGTCATCCCACATATCTCGCCAGTCCCTATAGACACTATCTTTCATCAAGGGTGATGTGTGGGCAATTACTGTGGCTATGATTGATGGTCAAGTGGCAGCCAGCAGGAAGTGAGGTGACCTACGACATATGCACTTATCCTGCCTGCCATGGAGCCCTGCCCCCTGTAAGCCCCCTGCCTGCAGCAGGAGCAGGTGGGCATGGCTGGGGATAAGCCCCTCTGGCATCCTGCCTCACACAGAGGTGCTGTGTAAGTGCCCTATGGCCATGTGGGCACTTTCAGCCCCTGAGCTGAAGTGGTTTCTGAAGAGCAGCTCCATGCCCTGGGGGGAAAGACTAATGCAGGGTCTCTCATGCGGCCATGAGGGGGTTTTCCTGCAGCCACAACAGCCTCCTGGGCAGTGATGGGGCGAGAGGGGGAGAGACAAAGAAGCATTGGCTTCAGCCCTGGGGTGCTTGGGAGGTGGGCTTCAGGATTTAGGGAGCCTGGCTGTGCAGACCAGGGCTCCAGCCATGGGGCTTCAGGTGCCAACACCGGGCTTCTGCCCCCAGCTCCGGGCTCTGGCTACTGGCACTGACCCCAGCCCTGGCCATGCAGCTCCTGACCCTGTCAGGCACTGACCCCCAACCCTGGCCATGTGGCCCCGGCTTCAGTTCAGGCTCCAATCCCTGGCTCTGGCAGCATAACGCCGGCCCCAAGCTCTAACCGCCAAACCTGGCAGCAGCCCCTGGCCCAGATACTGGTAGCTGGACACGCACTCCAACGCCCTGGCCGCTGACCCCAGGTGCCAATCCCCAGCCTCGGCCATGCAGCAGTGGCCCCTGGCTGTGCAGCACCAGACGCTGAGCCTGGGCTCAGGCAGATGCTGGCCCAGGGCACCGATCCCGAGCTCTGGCTGCAGCCTCTGGCCCCGGCTGTGCAGATCCTGCTTACTCTTCTTAGCAGGCCACTCCCTGCTACAGGCTTCCCTGATAACCCTGCACTGATCACACCACCGCTAAGCTTCACCCAATATCTTCCTTGCTGGCTGAGTACCCTCCTCACTCCCAGCTTCTTCCAATCTGGCTCAAGAAACGACCTGCTTGAGGCTGCCATCCTCGCTTGCCACCATCTTAGGTGTTGCAAAGCAGAATGCAGTAACGCCTAACTTTTAGTCACTTAGAAAATCACAGGAACAGCCCTGCAATCCACAGAGTCTGAGTTAGGCACACAGGTTCCCTATACAATGAATGGGGGGAGCTAGGCACCTTGCAATCGATTCACAAAAGCCAGCATGCTAGGCAGGGAGCTGCCTAAATTAGCCAATGGTAGATAGGTCCCTAAGTATGGGCTGCAGGGAGGCACCTAGCTCTGCTAGCAATTCACAAGCAGAAACCCCTCTCCTGGAGTCAGGGAGCTTAGGTGCTTAACTCATTGTTAGGTGCCTGCCTCACTCCATGCAAAACAGTAGGAGGAGGAGGTGCTCATGCCATTGCCCCCTTATAACTTTTAGCCCAGTGGTTAGAACACTCACCTGGATGTTGGAGACACAGGTTCAACTCCCCCCTCAGGCAGAGGGGGAACAAAAGACTGGGAAGGCATCTCCCACCTCTCAGGCGAGTGCGAGACCCACGGAGTGATGGGCCATTCTGAAGTAGGGCTCTCTCAGTCTCTCCTGCTGAAGCTGTTCCACTTTGGAGAAGAGTCTTTGTGCCACAGAGGAGAGAATGAAAATCTCTTATCCTGTTGGTCAGACCACTCACCTGGGAGATCCAGGAGCTGCTCCCCCTGCTACAGTGACTAATTATTTATTCAAAGTGGAACAGCTTCAACAGGAGAGGTTGAAGGAGACTATCCCATAGCTGGATGATGAGCGCACTCTCTTCAGCAGACCCCAGTTCAAATCTCGGGGGGGGGGAACTGAAACTGGGTGTCCCACATCCCAGGTGAGTTCTCTAATTACTGGGCTAAAAGTTATAAAGTGGGTACCACCACCTCAGTTAGGCTCCCTCATTCAGTCAGGGGATGGCTTGTTTGGTTAATTGGCCCTCTTCTTAGCCTGCATTAACCCCTTCAGGAAAAGTGTAGGGTGAACACCCATCACAACAATAAATGTTGATGGGAAAAGGTGCAATAGGGAGACAGAAAGACCAAATTAGTCCAAATGAACAGGCCTAGTGATATAACTCAAGGACGGTGTTAAGATCATGCCTGATAAACAAGCATGGGACCAGAAATCAATGAACCAAAAGTGATGTGTTGGCAATTAGGCCTAATTGGTGGACAAAATAATGAGGGGATGGGCTATCTCACACACCACTCCCTTTTGGTGTTCTTTAAAATAGTAAAGACAGTGGGGGAAAAATACAGACAGAGGAGTACGCTGCTTGACTGAAAGACAAGAGAAAGAGAAGGCATGAGCTTCACCATCATAGCTGCCACCCCAACCCTCTCCTGGGACTCCAGCATCTAGCCTGACACCCTTGTGCCTTCTTCATCCTAATCTGGAGAGATGTCCTGACCAGACCAAGCCAGAAAGCAGGATCCATATGATACCTCTGGCTAAATTCCAAATGTCACCTGAGATATGAGACTTTGTTTCCCTGGGGTTACTGTATCCTACGCTTTCCCTATTTTATTTTTTTCCTCTCCCCCACCCCCTTTTCCTTCTGTCTAATAACCATCTGTTTTAGTCAGCCAAGACTGTATATTTTACAACACTGATGTAAGCCTATGACCAGAAGGAGACAGCTAAAAGCAATGCCCTAAACAGCCCAATACTGATACAGGTTTGCCGGGTATGTCCCTGGCTTATAAGACCATTTGCTGAGTTTGTGTTTCTCCAGCAGCGAGGTTGCAAGTGAGAGTCAACACCAGAGACAGAAGCTGCATTTTCTCTCCTTGCTGTTCTTTTCTTCCCCCTTTTCATGTGTATGTCTTGTTTGTCTTCTCAGAAATGGAGTTGGACTTTAATAACAGCAACAACAGCTCCAGCCCATCTCAACTGATTTCTACTCTTCCCCCCCAAAAGTAGTTATTGCCATCTGCAATATTATTTAAGAGACTATCAGAGAAGAGGGGTATGTGTGTGTGTGTGCAGGAGGGGAGTTCTTCTTAAATACTCCCTACAGCTAAAGGAACAAGATCAAAGGATATTGTTAAAATAAACCTTACTCAAAGCATTTGAATTGTAATGTATTCATGGTGTTTCCTTACCTTTAATAAAAGGTTTAAAAGAGTGTGTTTGCCATGGTACTAAACAGGCTGAGGCCTCTGTATAACAAATGCCAAACGTTATACAACACCGTATAATATTGGCCAGGGATAGGAGCAAGTTAACATCTGTGACTCTTTGGGCCCATATGCTCCCTCTAAATTGATACAATAGATGAAAACTACTCTATAAATGTAATACATGATTATTAGATCTTGCTGTAGTACGTGGCTGTTCACTGCATCCTAAGTGCCCCCTCATGGCTAGGATTGCCTATGTGGCTACCCTGTCTCTATTTCCCCTTCATCCTGGCCCCTTTAAAAACCCCACACAGTCCCCAGGGACCCTCTAAACTCAAGCCTTTAATTGACTCTTCACTAGTTCTCCTCAGTCTGCCAAAAAAACACAACTCAAACATCCAGACAAATACAGTTTTTCAGCTCATCTTTCCTTCTTTAAAAGCCAGTCACAGGCTTTATCTGGCTAGGGCTCTGCAGAAGTCCAACTTGCTCCTCAGAGCAGCTCCTTCCACCAGCCCCAGCTGGCTTCCAAACAAAAAGTAGGACAGGCCCCACTACAGCTTCTTGTGGCCTTTATATTAGAATCACCTAATTCCTCTTTGGTGGGGCTCATCTCGTAATCAGGATTGTCTTGGGCCCAGGCACTCCAGCCTATGGGCAAGCCACCCAGTTACACTTGGGACTGTGGTGAAATATTTTACAATGGCTGAATAATAACTATAGTTCTGGGCAATGATGATTGCTGGTTTGAAGAAATGGATCTTTCACAACATTGCAAGAGTTATATATGTTTTCATTGTTTTCTGGTAGAAATTAGCAGGTTACTAATGCAGTGTCTCTCATGCGGCCATGAGGGGGTTTTCCTGCAGCCACAACAGCCTCCTGGGCAGTGATGGGGCGAGAGGGGGAGAGACAAAGAAGCATTGGCTTCAGCCCTGGGGTGCTTGGGAGGTGGGCTTCAGGATTTAGGGAGCCTGGCTGTGCAGACCAGGGCTCCAGCCATGGGGCTTCAGGTGCCAACACCTGGCTTCTGCCCCCAGCTCCGGGCTCTGACCACTGGTACTGACCCCAACCCTGGCCATGCAGCTCCTGACCCTGTCAGGCACTGACCCCCAACTCTGGCCATGCAGCTCCTGACCCTGTCAGGCACTGACCCCAACTCTGGCCATGTGGCCCCGGCTTCAGTTCAGGCTCCAATCCCTGGCTCTGGCAGCATAACGCCGGCCCCAAGCTCTAACCGGTTTCTAAGACATAGAGTAAAATGCTGTTAAGATAGGACACATGTATCTGGGAGGGATAAGCAGTAGGACAGAGTGGGGTTGAGGTTGTGTGACTTTCCCAAGAAGCTGTCGTTTATCTGCATGGCACAGCACAGATCTTATGGGGCATTGGGGGCGTGGTAAACCCAACTGCCGGGGTGAGGTCCAGGTCTGAGCTGGTAACTCCAGGAGGAGGATGGAAAGTGAACCTCTGCAGGAGGCTTGTAAAGAAGAGGAAGAGCTCCATCTTGGCAAGAGTCTCGCCTGCACAGATCCTCCGACCTGTAATGAAATTCACCAAGGATGGAAGGATTTCAAAAGTAACAGCAACACAACAGATTTGAGTTTTAACTCTAGGAAAGAGCTGTAGATAAGCGCTTAGCAATTATGAGCTAATTCATCCTCACAACACCATCTCAGAAAGCAAGTGTTATCACCTCCATTTTACAGATGGGAAAATATGGCATAAAGTGGGTAAGTGACCTCTTTGAGGTCACACCGGATGTAATGGGCAAAGGAAGGACTAGAAATCAAAAGCTCCCCATTCGTAGTACCTTGCTCAGTCCACCAGACCATAAGGTCATCCAGGCAAGCTAGTGCCCATATGCAAGGGGACAGACAGAACCTCCTGAACAACCTAAAGGCTGGAATTCTCTCTAAGGACCATTTTAGCTTGCTCAAGGAATGGCAATGACAGGTTTTGGCAAGAGCCATCTCCAGCTCTCCTTTGGCTCAGGGTCCAGAATCCACAGCCACTAAGGTTTCAGAGTGTCTGGTTCTGGATTTTGGTCCATCTCTGGAAACAATGTGATTTTCATGCTTAGTCCTTTCATGTCTCTTACTCAGCAGGGATTGGAAGTGCAATGGAAGTAACAAACTCAACCCACAGAGACAAGGAATATCTAGCATTGCTCCGGAACAGCACTGAGAGAGTTTCGCCCAGCCCTTCCTTGAATGCAAAGGCAGACTGAGATCCAACATGATGCCTTAGAAGGGGGAAGACACAAGACAAAGGCAAACTGCTGTCCTTGAAGGGAAGTTACCTGCTGAAAAAGGCATGAATGCCTCATTCTTCACGAACTTTCCATCTGTGCTGAGGAAATGCTGAGGATAGAATTCTCCAGGCTTCTCCCACTGAGTCTTGTCACACAAAACAGAGGCCAGTAAGGGGATGATATAAGTACCCTAAAAAGCATCACAAAATAAAAATTAGAACAGTCAAAACTTTTCCATTGAACTGTGATTTCAACCAAAAAAAAAGGTATTTTGTTGGCAACAAAAAAATTCGTGGAAAAATTCTTTTTTGGCAAAATTTTCCCCAAACTAAATTTTTTTACTGATAACCAACATTTTTACTAAGAACTATTTTCGAAAATATAAAATTTTCACAAAAAATTATTTTTAATCCCAGAAACAGCTTCTCTGTTTTTTTCCTGGAAATTTCTGTGAAATTGAAAAAAAAAAAACAACCCTCAATTAAAAATAAAATCCTTAAAATAAATAATAAAAACATTTGCATTTTTCTACTAGCTCTAATAAAAATATCAAATTGACGATAAACTGTGAGCTTCATTCAGAAAGATAACAAGCCAGATCATCAGATGGTGTAAACTGGCATAGCTGTGCTCACTTCATTTGCACCAGCTGAGGATCTGATCCAGGAACAGTATCCTGCAGGTATATCCATTCCGGGGTTGCCCAGAGAAGGGCTCTTTCCACTTCTCACCCTGCCTTCTTAATATTTCATGTCTTCATAGCTGACGAACACTCAGGACAGCACCCCCCTGCCTCTTTCCCATAAACATATCGGAGGTTTGATCCAGAGCACTGCAGACATCACTGCATGTATTACTTTGTGGTTTGTCTTATCTGATCCCAGCAGCTAAGAAGTTTAAAGTTTGATTAGTCTGTGGATGGGAATTGTCCAGATTAAGTCAAGAATGCGGCCAGAAGTGGTGTGGCTGGCTTCCTGTCCTATGAGCCAGAACTGATTGTGTTGGGTAGGAGGTGGTGGTGTGTTGTTTGGGAAGGACTCAGCTTCAGTGAACTCATCACCACGTGTGAAGCCAAAGTGCTCACAGAGCATTCAATCTGCTGTTAGTTTCATGATAGAACATCTTTAGTTTCTCTTCAATTAAAGAGAAAGGGGAATATTCAAAAAATGTCCTCCCTTCTCATCCAAATCTGCTTATGTGATTGTGTGTCTCTCTGGGGTTGTGCTAGCCGCAGTGAGGAGAAGCGCCTACTATCTTATCAAGAGCTATCAGAGTAACTCCTTTAGCTCCAGTTAGATGGGCTAGAATTTTTGATGCTGAAGCCCCCAGGTTCAGTCCCTACTGATCACCATGGTGTTTATGTGCATGAGGTCATGTGATTTCTTGTCTGGAGGAATTTAAATAATGCATTGTTATTCTGTTTTAATTGGTGAGTTTAAAAGTCCCGGTAATTAAAGTACCTCTTAAAAACTTACTTTAGGAATAACATAGCCATTAAGTCTGACATCCTCAGTAGTCTCATGAGGCAAGCTCATTGGCAGGATATTAGCAAACCTCTGAATTTCATGGATAACTGCGTCCGTATATGGCATTTGTGTCCGATGTTCATAACGAAGCTGGGCAGATCCTATAACTCTTTCGATCTCTTCGTGGACTTTTTCTGAACAATTAAAAGAGAGTGAAAGCAGGTGCTCAGATACTATGGTGGTGGGAACCCCTATGAGAAACTAGACAGAGAGAAGAAAGCATACAACTGACACCTGCTAAACAATATAATCGACACTCTTTAGGACACAAACATCTTATTTCTAAAATGCTGCTGCTGACAACCTTAGTTACCAAGGCTGAAATGGTACAAGGCTCAGATGGGTAATTTGGGAGCAGAGGTAAGCATGCCTCTTCTAGCAATGCATAGTAGTAACCTACTGAGTGCAGAGAAGATACTGTCTCTGTGCAAAGGGTCGGGCTTTTGCTTTGAGAGCTCGATCCTGTGAAGTGCTAAACATCCTCAAGTTCCACTGATTAATGAGAGTTGAGTGTGTGCCGCATCTGCTATGATCAGGCTCTTGAGGTTTACAATACACTGTGGTCCCTCCCATCCTTAGTGCAGTCTAGGATTTAGGGAGACCCTGTGTGGGGACATTAGGCAGCAAAGAGTGATTTAGTCAGAGAGCTAAATGACCAGGGAAAACTCCAGGGCCCTCTCTGAGTCTAGCAGCCTCAATAAAGAATTCCCTTTACTTTCATGACAGCCGAGTCTGTCTTCTCCCTACTGCAAGGGATGACATCATGCCAGAGGTCTTGCATTTGAACATGGGTGAGGACTGTTGTGTCTATATGTGTATGGACATAGTTTGTACAAAAGCACACTCAGTACATACAGAGCAGAGTAAGAGAAGTGATGAATAGTCAGAAGGGCTCAGAAATCTTACTCTGAATAGCTGGGTATTTCATCATAAGCAAAAGGCCCCAGCGGAGTGTGGTAGAAGTTGTTTCCATCCCAGCCGTGAACAGATTACTCACCAGGCTTTGCAAATTCTCATTTTTGAAATGGGAATTGGGATTATATATTTCCTGCAAGTACAAAACTCTCCGTTAAAGTTTAAAGAATATTGGTAATCAGGGAAAATCTGCATTAACCCCCTCTACCTTTCCCAGCCCATTGGTACCTCCTGCTGCCTGACGAGAAAGGCATCAATGAAACTTCTCTGGTCATTGGGATCTAATTGCTTCAGGTATTCGATGAAAGTCTGCTGAATAAAGGAGTACAGTTCTTCCATGTTATTAAAGACAGTCTTGTGATTTCCTGGTAGGAACCCAAGGGCGGGAAATATATTGAACACCTAAAGGAAGGGAATAGCACAATTAGCCAAAGGGAACACAGATTATAGTGGTTAACAAATCATTCATGATCAGCCTGTGGCTTTACAGTAATACGTATTGGGTTGATAAACATGGTCTTGTAAATAACAGGGCCTGTTTCTATACGTCTTCCACATGCAGATCTCCCATTGAGATTAATGAAACAACTCTTGGAACTCATCTCCTTCTTCTTCTGCTTCTTCTTCATATGGCTGGTGTAGGTGTAGAGCAACCACTATAATTTTACATTCAGGAGGTTAAGCCGGCCAGGCTCCTGGGATGTGTCTATAACCTTTGTGCCCTAGCACTTTATGCGGTCGCTACCACTGATGCTGTTGTGCGGATGATAGCAAAGGTTGGGGAGCTTGTGTAGGGCGGTCACCAGCCTTTTAACGCCTGTGTCAATTGACTTTTAGAAAGGGTGTAAACTCTCACGCTCGGGGCACAAGCCAGCCAGCTAACTGATGGTGGTGAGGATTATGGGCAGGGTTTTCCATGGACAGGTTATTCACTGTAGGCAGGTTATTCCACCATTGCCCAACATAAGGGTTTCTTGCTTGTTCCCCTGGAGCATCTGGGGCTGCTTCCTGTTAGAGATGTTAGAGCTGCTCAGCAATTTTTAGATGAAATGGTTGAATCAGAAAATCCCAAATCACTGAAACTAGAACGTGTCACGGAAACCTATTGTTTCGATGACATTTTCAACAGGAAAGGTTTTGCAGCTCCAGAATGAATTTTTGGCCAACCCTCAAGGGGATGGGGGCGGGACACAAACAATTCCGCAGAATAGCCAATAGCCCTGTGTTTATGGCACTCGTGCAGGATATGAGAAACCCAGGTTCAAATGGCTGCTTTGCCTGATTCTCCCACACCCGAGTTGAGGGCTCTAATCATTGTGCTATTGGATAATCTGGGATTAGGATCTCTCTCCTTTGGAAATATTTTGAAATCCCAAAAATAGACACGGGATAAACCAGACTAATATTACCGTAACCATGGGACTCCCACAAAGCCGGACACTTTCATTAATTAAATAGATAAGCCTGATAAACTTTGGGTCCTCGTAATCAAATCGGTGTCCGAGCATTATCGACACAATGACATTGGAAACAGCAACATTCATCATCTTCATGGTGTCAAAGGGGCTTCCTAAAAAACATTAAACAGCAACATCCATCATTTTGTTGGTAACCAACAGGTTTCATACTGGAAACCATTGAAATAACAGGCCGCCCCTGCCCCTTTTGGGATGACTTGCATTCCTTGGGGCAATAGAAGGGAGCAGTCTCTGGGCTCCTTTTAGCAGAGGCATTACTGGTGTGCAGAGAAGGAGGACTCATTACACCTTTCCCTTGTGTCAGATCCTCAGGTCAAACTTCCCTGAGAGTCAGTCTGAGATTTGCCTCAGTGAGGAACTGGACCATTATTTTTAGGCTAATCCCCCAGCACCTTCCCCTCCCACCCTTTACACAGCGACCAATTGCTCCAACTGGTTCAGGCTCCTCCCCTAAGTTCTGACTAGTTGGAATCAAAGGCAAGAGTCATGACTGAGTTAATTTCCAAGTGAGGTGACTCCATGAGGGTGGGAGAAAGGGGGCTTCACAGGCCCAGATGTGGTTAAGGACTTTGAAGGATTACCAGTGTTACACTACGAAGCTCAACACGTACTTACCTTTGCGAGATTCAAAATCCTTTATCAGATAATCACATTCTTCCAGGATTTTGTTCTCAATGGTCCTCCTGCCCATGCCAAAATCCCGTAAGGTCGTGAGAGTGAATCTTCTCATCACTTTCCAGTTTTCACCATGAGCAAAAATAACACCTGAAATATCATTCCTTAGATTTGAATATGAGCAGCCAGTATCAACTAACCTTAAACGTCCATAATGCTCAGCCTCCCAAACACCACAGGTTACATTTTCAGAGCAGTCTGCAGCAAGTCGTTATTAATTATGCATAAAGAGTAACTCGATCGCAAGGGCTGCTTTGCTTTCAACTTCACTTGGTCATGCATTGAGTTACGTGGCTAAGTAAGACAAGCTTGTACTCAACCCTGCCTCAATGCAGGGGCTGGACTAGATGACCTCAAGGTTCCTTTCAGCCCTACATTTCTATGGTTCTATAAACTTTTATGGGGAGATTCACAAAGGTACTTAGGGGCCTAATTCCCAATTTTAGGTTCCGCTTAGATCCTGCCAAACCCCGTAAGTGTCTGCACTCATTTGGTGCCAAAATTTGCAGGATAAACATTCCCTAGGCTCCCATGTTTCTGTCTCTTTCTAGGCATCTGGACACGTATCTCCTTCCTAAGCCCCCGTGCAATCCATGAACTGGGGTGTTCACTTGCCTATCTCACATTTTGATCCCAATAAAAGAAGCAGAGGTGATGGTCGTGGTACCCACCTTATAACTTTTAGCCCCATAGTTCTAGCACTCACCTGGGATGTGGGAGACCCAGTTTCACTTCCCCTCTGAGGCAGAGAAGAGATTTGAACATGGGTCTGCTACCTCTCAAGAAAGTGCGCTCACCATCCAGCTATGGGATAGTCTCCTTCAACCTCTCCTGTTGAAGCTGTTCCACTTTGAATAATTAGAGTCACTGGAGCAGGGGGAGTGGCCCCTGGAGCAGGGGGAGTGGCCCCAGGATCCCTGGTTGAGTGCCCTGACCACCAGGCTAAGAGACATTCATTCTCTCACTCGCTGACAAAAAGAATCTTCTCAGAAGTGGAACAGCCTCAGCAGGAGAGATTGAGAGCCCTACTTCAGAATATCCCATCGCTCAGTGGGTTGAGCACTCTCCTGAGAGGTGGGAGATGCCTCTCCCAGTCTTTTGTTCCCCCTCTGCCTTAGGAGGGAATTGAACCTGGGTCTTACACATCCAGGTGAGTGCTCTAACCACTGGGTTAAACGTTATAAGGTGGGCAGTGCCACCAGCACCTCCTCCTCCTGCTGTTTTGTGTGGATTGTACTGAGACTTAGGCAGGAGATAGGTGTCCAGATGCCTAGAAAGATGCAGACACATAGGAGCCTAGGGCCTGTGAAGGCAGGCACCTAACACTGAGTTACACACCTAAACTGTCTGACTCCAGGAGAGGGGTTTCTGCTTGCGGATTGCTAGCACAGCTAGGTGCCTCCCTGCAGCCCAGACTTAGGAACCTATCCCAGTGAAGGGGCAGGGCTTAGGAAACACCCCTCTCATCAACATCTCCCACTGGCTAATTTAGGCAGTTCCCTGCCTAGCATGCTGGCTTTTGTGAATCAGGTGTCTAGTTCTTCCCATTCATTGTATAGGGAACCTACATGCCTGACTCAGGTTTTGTGGATCGCAGTGCTGTTCCTGTGATTTTCTAAGTGACTAAAAGTTAGGTGTTACTGCATTCTGCTTTGCAATGCCTATGATGGTAGCAAGCAAGGATGGCAGCTGCAAACAGGGAGTTTCTTGGGCCGGATAGGAAGAAGCTGGGAGTGAGGAGGGTACTCAGCCACTAAGGAAGACACTGGGTAAAGCTTAGCGGTGGCGTGATCAGTGCAGGGTTATCAGGGAAGCCTGTAGCAGGGGGTGGCCTGTTAAGAAGAGAAAGCAGGATCTGGGAGGATGCAGGGAAAGCCAGGACTAGGGAGGTGAGTTCAAAGAGGAAGCCTTGAATGGAGAGCTATCATATGAGATTTAAAGGCAGCAGCCTCGCCGGTTAGTCAGAGAAACCTGTTGCGTCCCTGCAAAGCTGTCAGTCATGGAGCTCTGCAAAGTCCAGGCACTCCGTTGCCTCTGGGGTTATTGGAAAAGAAAATAGGTGGGTTTAGTGTACACGTTCTGCAGTGCAGACAGCCAGGAGTAGGCAAGCCTAATTTCTTTTTCTTTGAGTCTTTTTGTAACTTGCATGGGTTTTGTGGTGTTTCCACACTGACGTCTGCAAAGGGTAATGAGATGGTTGCCTCCAAGTCTTCCAGCTCCTTTATTTTCACCTCAGATTTAGTTTTGTTACCTTACGTTACATTTACTGGGGTCTCTATCTTTCACCGATAGACAGGGATGGACTTACTCCATTGTTTAATAATGCCCCTTTGTATATCTCCTGTAACATTTTTGTGTCAAGTCCCCAGTGTCTTGGTCTTATCTTTGGAAGCAACAGAACTGCTGAATGGAAGTATACAAGTAAGAATGTATGCTCTCCAGACTGTTCTGATTTCTCAGCCCTGCAGAACACACCCCTGACAGAAGAAGAATGTTTCCAATGGTCAGAGCATAAAACAGTCTTATCATTAGGTAAGAGAGAAAAGAAATCTCACCATGTCCTCTTGAAATTTTTTCAAATATTGGGATTCTAGGCCTTTCCACAAACGCATCTGCCTGGTTCACAAGAGCCTCCTTCACCATCTTGTATCCCGACAGCACCACCATTTTCTTGGGTCCCATCTGAATGCTGAAGACTGGGCCATATTTCTCAGACAGCTTATATATGGGGGGGGAAGAGGGGGAGAAGCATTATATGTTTCCATGCTACTGTTATACCAACTGTTGAGTTTCAATTGATTTTAAAACATACAAGCTAGAGCTGGTTTTTTTTCTTCTGTCTACAAATATAGCTGAATGAACAAGTGCCAGGTTCAGCATCCAGACAGGAGACCGTTATACACACTGCTGCTCTTTTGCTGCTGTTTATTTTGTTTGGAAAAAGCATTGTAAGGTTTTAAGTTTTGCTATAATATGGGCATAGAGCTTAAGAATGCCTAGTACATAGAGTGTCCGATGCCCACTGAAACAATCTTTAATGTACCCTCACAACATCCTATGAGGTAGGAAAGTGCTATCAGCCCATTTTACAGGCAGGGAACTGAGGCACAGAGCGACTTGCCCAAGGTCACACAGGAAGTCTTTGGCAGAGCAGGAATTGAAGACAAGTCTCCAAGTCCTAGGCTAGTGTCCTACTTATTGAAACATGGGACCAGGCTTTGCACTTATGTCTATGACAAACTTACCATGTACATTCATTACCTTTGTAACCCTGTTAAAAAAAACAGGCTCTACAAATGACACACTGCTTGGCTCCCTGGGAATTGCCCTCAGGAGGGAATTATGTAAAGGATTACCTATATCTGGTTTTACCTGCATACAGCAATTACAGACAGTATAATGGGCTACAGTATACCATTAGAGCTGGACAGGAACTTATTTCCTTTTCACACATACAAATTTGACAAAAATGATTTTTATTGACATTTTTCAGGATTTCATTTAAAAAAATTAAATTTTTGATTAAAACAAAACAATTAACAATAAATGAATTATTTTGTAACCAACTTTACTGAGAGTAGTTCTTTCACTTTGGCCTTGAAAAAAATTGACAGTGTATCAGTGGTTTTACTTTAGATGGGCTTGTTATTGTTATTATAAATGGCACCAAATATATGCTCCGTGCTTTGAAGACAAATAAGAATACAAGGTGCTTTCCCTGAATAGCTGACAATCTATGGCTCCAATCTTGCTTTGAAAGCTGCTTGTGCAGACCCTTCTATCTGCATGGACTCTCATTATTATTAATCATCGGTGTTACTGTAGCATCTAGGAGCCCCAGTCAGGACCAGAACTCCATTGTGCTAGATGTTGTACAAACACAGAATATAACAATGGGCCTTGCTCAAAGGGGCATAAAATCTATGTACCACTGGGTTCAGCATGACTTCATGGGCACAGGGGTCTGTGCTAGCAGATCCTGATGCAGGATCAAGGCCCAGATAGACAATGAAAAGATGAAGGATGGGGCATGGGATACAGCAAGAGGCAAGTGATGAGATGTGACTGTATCAGGCCATCTAACATAAGCTCTTCAGCACACGGGCTGTCTCAGAAGAATGACCATACTGGGTCAGACCAATGGTCCAGCTAGCACAGTGTCCTGTCTTCTGACAGTGGCCAGTACCAGATGCTTCAGAGAGAATGAACATTCCTGGGCTATTTTGAGTGATCCAACCCTGGTCATCCAGTCCCACATTCTGACAGTTGGAGGTTTTGGAACACCTAGCCCACGGGGTTGTATCCCTGGCTATCTTGGCTAATAGCCATTGATGGCCCTATCCTCCATGAACTTATCTAATTCTTTTTTGAATCCAGTTATGCTTTTGGTCTTCCAGCTACTGGATCTCATTATGCCTTTGTCGGCTAACTTCACGGACCCCCTATTGTCAGAGACTTTCTCCTTGTGCAGGTGCTTATAAACTATCAAATCGCCTTTTAACCTTCCCTTGGTGAAACAGACCAGCCTTCTTTGGTCTCTTCTTTTATGATGTGTTTTCCAGACCTCCAGTCATTTCTGTTGCTCTTCCTTGAACCCGGTTCCATTTGTCAGCACACTTTCCATTTGTCAGCAGGAGCCATGGTGGGTTGGATGTGGGCTGCGGGAGGTAGTGGGGCCCAGGGATGATGGAGGAATGAATGCAGGGCCAGGAAGGCAGAAGGACCAGGGGCAATGGGGAGGGGGTTGGATGTGAGCTGGGGGAGGCAGCAAGGGCCACTATGCCGAAACCAGCGCCTGCTGCCACACAACTGGGGCTGGGGATCTGCACCCGGGGTCAGCAGCCAGGGCTGGGAGTTGGAGTGTGCGTCTGGGGATTGGTGCCCGGGCCAGCAGCCGCCACCAAGGTTTGGGGTTAGAACCCGGGGCTGGGGTCGGTGCCAGTGGCCAGAGCCCGGAGCTGGGGGCAGGAGCTGGGTGCTGGCACCCAAAGCACCATTGCGGGTGCCCTGGTCTGCGCAGCCAGGCTCCCTAGGTCCTGCCGCTGGAGCCGCCTCCCAACCACCCCGGGGCTGAAACTCCCATAGCTAGAGAAGAGAACTGACCTTCCTCCTGCAGCGTTGTCCCCTTCCCACCTGCCGTCCCCCGTCTCCAGGGCCTCTGCCAATGCTTTGCCATCTCCCCCTCCCCCATCACCACCTAGGAGGCTGTCATGGCCACAGGAAAACCCCCTGGTGGCCGCTTGAGAAACACTTTCTTGTTAACTGCTTGAAATGGGCCACCTTGATTACATTGGCCTCATTAGCACTACAAAAGTGATCTTCACCCCTTCTTGTCAACTGTTGAGAATAGCCCACTTCGACCTTAATTGAATTGGCTCGTTAGCACTGACCCCCCCACACACTTGGTAAGGCAACTCCCATCTTTTCATATGCTGTGTATTTATACCTCTCTACTGTATTTTCCACTCCATGCATCTGATGAAGTGGGATTTAGAGCACAAAAGCTTATGCCCAAATACATTTGTTAATCTCTAAGGTGCCACAAGGACTCCTTTTTCATTTTGCTGATACAGACTAACACGGCTGCCCCTCTGAAACCTGTCACTTCAGCTCAGCCATAGAGCACTTGCCTCACACAGAGTTTGCGGTGTAAGACCCCAGAGGGGCTTATCCCCAGTCATGCCCACCTGCTCCTGCTGCAGGCAGGGGGCTTACATGGGCAGGGCTCCATGGCAGACTGGATAAGCGCACCCTCTGCATGGTCCCTTCATGTCCATCCCTCTGGTTTAGCTTGTATTGCAAGTATTGTTAATTATTATCACTAACAAACTTTTCTGTCACATTCTCTCAGTGATGTGTGACAGGCATGCACAGCGCTGCTTTAAGATATGTTGAGTGAAGCCCAGCACAGATCAAAGTTCTAGATAGGCTAGATAAACATACATACAATTCAAACACTGGATTAGTCTTTGCCCCCGGGCATGGAGTGGCTCTTCAGAGACCGCTTCAGCTCAGTGGCTGAAAGTGCCCACATGGCCATAGGGCCCTTACACAGCACCTCTGTGTGAGGCAGGAAGACCCCAGAGGGGCTTATCCCCAGCCATGCCCCCCCCCCATACCCTGCTCCATCCAGGCAGGATAAGTTCATCCTCCTCATGGTCCTTTCATGTTCACCCCCCTTACGCGGGGTTAGCCTGTACTGCAAGTATTGTTAATTATTATCTTTAATGAACTTTTCTGTCACATTCTCTCACTGATCTGTGACAGGCTTTAAGATATGTTGCATGAAGCCCAGCACAGATCAAAGTTCTAGATAGGCCAAATAAACATACATATAACGCCAGACTGAAGGACCTGATCCCAGATTGGCTGAAGTCAATGGTAAGTCAGTGATCAGTGCCTCACTGACTAGCTAACTCTTAAGCCGTGCTACCCTTGCTTTGTCTGCGTTAAGCATTTCCCCTCGCAGTGCGCACTGCTTCTAAAAATGGGGACTCCTGCATTTTACTTAGCTTGCATTTTTCCATCTGCCATTTACAACTCTGAGATCAAGTATAGCCTGCCCAGTCCATCCCATTCGAAAGTGTTACCTCAAGCAAAGTTCGGTAAGGTCTCTTCAGGTTCAGCTGGTGTACATTTCCAAGGACGGGTAAAGGTCTTGGTCCTGGGGGAAAATTCAGGCAGGCTCTCTTATTCCAGCCCCTTTTCACAGTGAGAATAGAAACAAAAGTTACCACAAACAGCAGCAGTATGACAACTGGATCTGCCAGCGTCATTTCTTTGGGATTGATACCGTACTAGTCAGGAATTTTCCAAAAAAAAAATTATGGGAAGAATGCAACCTAATCCAGCTGTGTCTGCAAACAGAGTGATCAGCTTTGTTAAAAAAGTCTGTACATAGTCTCTCCCTATCCTATGATGCCTAGCTTAACCCTATTATTGCTGGTGAAAAATCATTCATTATGAAAACGTTATCTGCAGCTCCTTCCTTTGAAAAGTACTGTGGACAGAATGGCTGGACATCCTGGTTTACTGGGATTATCGTGGTTCTAGTGAAACTGGGGTTTAAGCAGAACAAAGGGACATCTGTCATGGCATGTCTCATGCAAACCTGGTCCTATGTTAGCTCACTTTCTGCTGGCTGCCACTTGGCTATCAATCATAGCCACAGTAATTGCCCACACATCGCCTTTGATGAAAGATAGTGACTATAGGGAGTGGCGAGATATGTGGGATGATGTTGTGACCATACTCTCAGTTTGGATGAGAAATGATCCTTGCTCTAGAGTTGCCACCAGCTAAGGAAAAAAGTTAAGGAACTTGTGTCCCATTAATGTTTTAAATAAATTGGCTAATTTGCATATTGGAAAAGAATTTGCATGCAGTCAGAAACTTCAACTTTAAAAACATGTGAGTGTGGATTTAATAGTGATGGAGTCATCATCCTGTTTCATCCTTGTGTGGGTGAATGGCATTGTCCCCTCACACTCTTCATCCTGTCCACCCTTTTGTGCATCCCTCCCCTACGAGGTGGCCAGAGAAATCCCACAGTCACTGAGTTGGTAGGCTGGGAGCAGCAGGGAAAAGAGAACAAAATGTTTTTAAAAGGATGTTGTAAAATTGGAGAGGGTGCAGAAAGGAGCCACAAAAATTAGTCAAGGGTGGCACACACACACCCCTCTTCTCTGATAGTCTCTTAAATGGTAATAAACTACTTTTTGGGGAGGAAAGACTAGAAATCAGTTGAGATGGGCTGGAGCTGTTGTTGCTGTTATTAAAGTCCAACTCCATTTCTGAGAAGACAAAACAAGACATACACATGAAAAGGGGGAGAAAAGAACAGCCAGGAGAGAAAATGCAGCTTGTGTCTCTGGTGTTGACTCTCACTTGCAACCTCGCTGCTGGAGAAATACAAACTCAGCAAATGGTCTTATCAGCCAGTGAGAGACCTGGCAAACTTGTATAAGTATTGGGCTGTTTAGGGCATTGCTTTTAGCTGTCTCTTTCTGGTCATAGGCTTACAGCAGTGTTGTAAAATATGCAGTCTTGGCTGACTAAGTCAGATTGTTATTAGACAGAAGGAAAAGTGTGAGGAGGGAGAGGAAATATACATAGGGAAGGTGTAGGACACAGTGGCCCCAGGGAAACAAAGTCTCATATCTCAGGTGATGTTTGGAATTTAGCCAGAGGTGGTATCTGGACCCTGCTTTCTGGCTTGGTCTGGTCAGGACAGCTCCCCAGATTAGGACAAAGAAGGCACAAGGGTGTCAGGCTAGATACTAGAGTCCCAGGAGAGGGTTGAGGTGGCAGCTATGATGGTGAAGCTCATTCCTTTTTTTTCTCTTGTCTTTCACTCAAGTAGCGTACTTCTCTGTCCATATTTTTTCCTCAGTGTCTTTACTTTTTTTCAAGAACTCCAAATGGCAGTGAGTGGTGTGTGGAATAGCCCATCCCCATTATTATCCACCAGTTAGGCCTAATTGCCAGCACATCAATTTTGGTTCATTGATTTGTGGTCCCATGCTTGGATCCCTAGGCCTCTTTGTTTGGACTAATTCAGTCGGTCTCCCTATTGCACCTTTTCCCATCAACATTTATTGGTATAGGTTGTAATGGGTGTTCATCCCACACTTTTCCTGAAGGGATTAATGCAGGCTAAGAAGAGGGCCAACTAACCAGACAAGCCACACCTGAGGGGAACCAGGTGGTTTAAGGAATCCCCTGACTGACTGAGGGAGCTCAGCTGAGGAGGGAGTAGCTAGGCTGGGTTTATAAATGTCGGAAGCCCCTCGTAGAAGGAGTGACAGGGAAATAGGCTGAAGTCACACCCTGGGGGGGTAGGGACTGGGAGGTATGTTTGGTGGCTATAGAATTAAAATAGGTGACAGATACTCCCTGGGAGGAGGGAGTTGTGAGGCTGGTGAGCCCTGAGAAGTGGGGAGAGCTAGATGGTAAGGTAAGGCATCAAGGTTCAGGAGGGTGCAGGCCTTGGCTGTTGATTAGAGGGTCCCTGAGTGGGAATCTGAAGTAGTAGGTGGGCATGGGTTCTTCTGCTAGCCTGAGGTGGGGAAGTGGCACCAGCTAGGCCGCGAATGAGAAGGCTGCCTGAGGCCATTTGTTAGGAAAGGTTTTGATACCCCAGAATAGGGAAAGATGCATAGTGACCAGGGCAGAGGGCCAAGTCACAAAGAAGCATGTGCAGTCACATGGACGGGGGAGAGAGAGGTAGTAGGATGTGAAGCAAGCAGCAGAAGGGAGCATCAGCCCTGGAAAGAGCTAATCTCCAGAGAGGCCAGGAGATAGCATCCCAGCAGTGAGTGGACTCTGGGGGTTATTGTGTCACCATGAACTTGTGTTGACTTTTCCCCACAGTCAGGCTCACAAGTAAGGTAAACCTATAGGCCCAATTATTACAACATTCCCAAAGCATTTTACAAACTGAAACACAACATCTTTGGGGTGCAGGGTAGTAGCTAATATGTAGAAGACAACATCATTACAGAAAGAGGGGAAATTTAGGATTTGTCCTAGTGTATTTTCCCATTCTCATGCAAAAAATGCAATGAGATTTTTTTTTTAAAATGGCTACATGCAGAACTACTCATTACCTTCAATAGAAAGTACTCGTGAGATTTGGCCCTAAATTGGACAATACATCACAGACTTCCAGCATGTAATACGCTGGGTGACCAGATGGAAGTGACATCTCAAAATTATCTTTGTATTCATGCTGGCATTGTTCGCAGATAAAATGTCTTTTAAAGGATGGACCCATATTAGCTTGTTGCTGATGAGAATTCATTTGAATGTAACATCTGAAAGAACCAAAAGCCATTTCTTTTGCATCACAGGAGAGAGATCTTTGCAGCACCTGAGAACTGCTCTTTTGATTAACATTCAGCATATTTTTATCTTTGATGTCTCTTGGGGGGATGTAGTTAAATCAGATGTGTCCCAAATACACAAAGGGAGGCTGCTAACATAAGCATTGTATTTAATATACCATTCAATTTTCCCACTGCATTGTTGCTAAACTGTTGTAGGCCCAACGCAGGAGTTCACATTCCTAGGTACTGTGAACATCCCCATGGGCTCTGTTAACACAGGAACCAGTGCCATTCATTGCTTAATCATTGCTAGTGTGAAACGATGAGCGTGACAGTCATGGAGCTGCTGTGTGCTAATCTATGGAGTGATAGAACGTAGTTATTGAGAGACTGTATAATTTATGTTGTGGTAGTGAAATGTTTACTATACAATAGTGGCTGTGGGAAGAACAAACAGCCAAGTAAAGCAATACAGGAGCTTCTCAGATAAGAACACCTAGACATACACTTGGCCCATTGCCTTTCAAGTGTAAGCTTCAAGGATCATGGCTCCTCTGCCTCTGAGTTGTAAACATTGTTCTGCCAGAGATAGATTTACCAGATTAAAGGGCATCTCTACACTACAGTTAGGAGGTGTGATTGCAGCACATGTAGCCATACCAGAGCTCTCCTAGATCTTGCTAGACGAAGGCTAGCTTGAGTAACAATAGCAGCAGGGGCAGACAGCCACACTAGCTGTTCCTGTATGTACCCGGACTCCGCACCCTCACCCCCCTATCCCACCTCCTGGCTGCTGTGATTATCCTGCTACTGTTAGTCAAGCTACCTTTGATCTAGCTAGACTGAAGCTAGCTCAGGCATGTCTACGGGAACTGCAGTCACACCTCTTAAGTGCAGTGTAGGCATATCCATAGTGCCTTGCCCTGGGAAGGGGAGCAAGTCTCCAGGGCTGTCCAGAGAATATCATGGAGCTCTGACAGGGAGGAGAGAGGCTGAGAGACAGAGTGGTTTTGCAGAAGCGTCTATAGGAAGTTTATCTTCCACATAGAGTCTGTAGTAAGACAACCACCTGGTGAGCTAGAGAGGCATGTAGTGTGCCTTATTATTAAAGACCACTTTTCTCTGAAATGCTTTTGTTCTAAATAATACTTTGCTTGAAGGAGGCTGTTTGGTCACCACTGTCATTGCCCCCAGAGGGAACAGAACTATAGGGTCTGGACATGTCTGCTGAGGTTGATACACAGGGGACTGCAAGCCAGGGCCTGGTCTGAGAGTGGGAGAATCATGTTATTTTGCCCCCCCCCCCCCCCCCGAGACAAGTGACAGCCCAGGGCCTGAGATCTAGATGGGGTGCACTTGAAGAGGCCAGGAGGGGTCAGAGGTCTGGTTTGTCCAGTAACTGTGGGTTGGTCTAATAAAAGATGTATACTCCGGGACAAGATAGGCGATCTTATAAGACAGTTCGCTTAACTAAAGGAATTGTTTTTTTTTAATAAGAGGGAATGCAGGGGAGATGAACTACAATAACAAAATGCTAGACTTAAATCCATTCCTACCTTTCTTTGATTTGCTGAACTGAGATGCCGTGAACAGTTATTAGCGTATATTAGATTGAGAGATTTTTAAAGCTAGAAGAGGGATTGTTATGATCTAGTCTGATTTCCCATATAAGGCTGTAATATTTCACCTAGGTACAGTGGAGGAGGTAAGTGAATACTCAGGAAACCAATAACTTATACCGGTGCTTAGACTATAGGTCAGGGCTGGCTAAAAACCAGAAAGGCATGTGGATGAGTCTGAAAAATTGGCAGGGCAGACATTGAGAGTTCATGCTTTTGGACAATGATCTAGCTGGTATGTTCTCCTCCAGGACGTTACCCTGAACTGGAAAGCCCTGGCTATGTAACTTATTAGCTAACATGGTGGCAACAAGACGGTTATAACCTTTCCTGCGGTGCTCAGGAAGGGTATAACTGTGAATCATGGTGGCAAACTGATCTGTCAGACTCCAGGAGACAGGGTGTCTATTGTCATCTAGCACGCAGATGCTGGGGAAGCAGTGAATGAGGTTGGCAATGTACCCAGGCATTGCTCGCTGCCTCCCCGTGACCAGGTTTCATTCAGCAGGCTGGTATGAGAGACATCAAGGTAAGCCAGTCTTGGTGCAGGGTCCATCCTGGGAGAAGGAATAGGAAATGCATTAGGCAGAATACTTCATCCTTAAGCCACTGAAGCAGAATTAGAGCCATCTTTCCCAGTTCAATGGCTTTCCTGTTCTACTTCAGAAAAGGAAACTAAAGAGCGCTAGGCCAGGCTAGAGATTGGAGGATTAGTGCCATTGCTGTATGAGAAGTCTAGATGGGAGGTCCAGTCCTTATCTGCCAGGTGCCCAGGGAGGTGTTATGTCTGAGTCCTGGGACTAAGCTTGTAATACAGAGGTGGGCAAACTGCGGCCTGCGGGCCACATCCGGCCCACAGGACCGTCCTGCCTGGCCCTTGAGCCCCTGGCCGCTCCCCTGCTGTCCCCCCTCCCCCACAGCCTCAGCTCGCCATGCTGCCAGTGCTCCGGTGGCTGGGTCTGGCCGCAGTGGCACGGCGGCTGGCAGTCCTGGTGCTCCAAGGGGGTGGGGGAGTTGGAAAAGGGGCAAAGGGTCCTGGAGGGCAGTCAGGGGACAGGGGGGTTTGGATGGGGGTGAGGACCAGCGTGTGATCAGGGAACAAGGAGAAGGGGGGGTTGGATGGGTCAGGGGTTCTGACTGGGGACAGTCAGGGAGCAGGAAGTGGGAGGGGTTGGATAGGCGGTGGGGCCAGGCTGTTCGGGGAGGCACAGCCTTCCCTACCTGGCCCTCCACACAGTTACGGAGCCCTGCTGTGACCCTCAGGCCAAAATAGTTTGCTCACCCCTGTAATATGTGCACATGATGTTTTAAATGGTTTTAACTCTAGCAGTTCTTAGTACAAGAAATGCTTGTTGGACTGCGCCACCCATGATCCTTTAGAGGGAGTTGAGGACCTGATTTGGAGAGTGAAAAAAAAAAATCAATCATGGTTACCAACACACCTCAAGGTCTGCCTTTCCTTAAAAATTAAGGCCCTTAATACACACACACACACACACACAGTGCCTCTCACTTCCTGGAGTTGCCTCCTCACTCCCAGGCTCTTCCTCATTCAGCCAGTTTGTGTCCCAATGACCTACCATTCTGCCTATTGTGGCCTAGTAGATAGAGAATTTGATTAGGACTGAGGAGACCTGGGTTCTATTCCCAGCTCTGTCATTGGCCTGCTGGGGAACCGTGGTCAAGTCACTCCACTTCTCTGTGCCTCAGTTTCCACATCTGTAAAGCTCTTTAAGATGGGGTCTCAAAGTCATCTGCAGTCAGAGAACCTCCCCACTGTGGCCTGCGGAGGAGATGCACGCCGGCACATTGCTGGCAATGTCTGCTACAGGTACTGCCCCCGCAGCTCCCACTGGCTGGGGGAGAGGGACATCACTAGGCACCGGGCAGAGTCAGCACCACTTCTCCTCCCGCGCGCCCCCTCTGTCCCCCCCCATGAATATAAACAAGTCAAAAAAACGAACACACAACTATCTGATGCCCACCTTGCTGCAATCCTGAAGTTTTCAACTGCTCAGTCACTGAGGCCAAACGTCAAACTGACAGAACTGAAGCGTTGCCAGGTGTCTAGCAAACACTAAAAACTCTGGCAGGCGAAGAATTGTATAAAGTTGTATGACCGTTTTATTGCTAATAAATTCAAAATAAAAATATAATATAAACGTTTTCTTTTCTGAACACCATCTTCAGTGACATTATTGGCCTGCTGGGAGGATTTGAGGACTGGTACTAGCCCTACGGTAAATTGAGTTTGAGACCCCTGTTTTAACATCTAATGAAAAGTGCTAGATATGAGCTAAGTATTATCATATTTATTGAAAATAGGAAGGATGTGATTGGACATACTGAGTTCTGATGTCTGGCAGCATGTCAGGGTCTGGGAGGATAAACATCTGGAAAGAGGATAGTTTCACATTGTTGGTAGGTCTAAACAAGTCAGTGTTGGATGCTTCATATAATCCACCCTGGAGCCCTGTGTAGGCAAAGATAAATAGTGACTCATTTAAAAAAACAATGCACATGGAAATAAAAAAATCAAAAAACAAAGCTTGGATTCACTATGAAGCTGTTTGCACATCTGAAATCTTCAAAACCCTCTGTATTACTGCACTTTTTTCTTCCCCATTCAATACATTCTCCACAATTTCATAGATGTTAAAGCCAGAAGGAGCCATTATGATCTACTCTGACCTCCTGCACAATGCAGGCCTGAGAACCTCACCAAGTAATTTCTACATCAAGCCTGTAACTTCTGTTAGAGAGAGTACATCTTTCAAAAAGACATCCAGTCTTGATTTAAGGATTTCAAGTGGTGAAGAATCTTATCTACTATATTCCCAGGAATCAGCCAAGTCACCTACTCTGCAGGGTGTTGGAGAGTACAAGCCTTGCTACTCCCTTCCCACTCCAAGTTGACACCACCTAAGAAGCTAAAGGAAAGGATTCAATCACAACAGGCTCCACAGTGCATTTGCTCTTCTGGAGCTCAGATTAAAAAAATGTTTTGATCTACCTCTATCTGCTGCCTGGTGATGACAACTTTGAAATCTGGCCACGAATCCACCACCACTTCCTTCCCGAAGGGATTTCCTTTGTTGATATTCAGCACTGCTCCATAAACCTGCCAGATAATGGAACATGAAGTAGAGATTATAAATTGTTTTGTGCTTTAGAATAAGTTGTACTTTATGCCTTTTCATTTGGTTAAGGTATTTGACCACGTATTGGATATGGAGTCTGAAATTCAAAACGGCATGCCTGACAAACAGCCCTTTGTTTACCTTCTTGCTAAAGTTTTCAGGCCCTTTGGAACTATGGTGGGAAAGGCAGCTAACAGTCAGAATTGGTTCAAACAGGTTCCACCAGGGGAGCTGCCAGTTTTACCTCAGAACTTTGGTGCACTTGTGCCTATATGAACTCTGAGCACCCGCTGCCTCGTTGCTGTCCATCCTAGAGGCAGCCACAGTACCATTGTATTTGCGCAGCTACGTGGACTAGAAGATCAGAAGAGCAGCATCTGAAGACAACAGCATTAAGAACTGAGACTGTGCTACCAATCTCTGAACCCCACATTCTTTTCAGAGAAAGGTACAGAGGTCCTGTTGATCGCTCATCCTGCGATGATTGCAGAGCCAGGCATTTCTTTAGCATCAACAGATCCTGTTGATCTCCTACTAAGAAGCAGTTGAGATTCAGGGTCCATCAGTTGGCCATGACAATGGCGTCTTAGCATCTACTGCCTACCACCACCTAGAAATGGTGCAGTATCTGGGATTTTGTTTTAGGTTTATTTGTTTATTGCCAGGGTATCTATTTGGTTGGGCCTGGGTTTTAAACCCAAACTATCAAACCACATCTCACTGTTTCTGTTTTAAATAAAAGCTGTCATCTGTTTACTTTATTCTTTTCTCTTCTTTATCCATTTGCATTATGGGATAGGGAGGTACACTATCTTTCCCTTCTAAGCCCTGGGTGATGGACCCTTATCCAGTATCTAAGATCCTGCTACTTAGCTGCAAGGTATAGCTGGCCTATACCATCCTCATCATAGTTAACGTTGCAGGGTTAACATTAAGAACCAGAGAGACCATTTTGAGGCCTGCCATCTTGGCTGACACACATGAGACTGAACCAAGGACTCCCAGAGCTAAAAGCACAAATTCCAAGAGCTAGAGCAAGAGCTAGGTTCTCCAACAGATCTGTGTCCTCTGTTGATCAGACACAGAGGGAAGTCCATTAGACACACACTGAGCAGTGGGTTACACCGTCACATTGGTGAATCCACTGCTCTCAGGTACAGGCTTCCTTGATAGTCAGTTGTAGTAGCAAAGAAACTTCTCTTCCCCCCCCCCCCGGCTCTGCTTCCATCTTGCCCAACATTCTGATTCCCCAAAGGAGATAGCTCAGAAAAGAGAAGATCAGATCTATTACTTTGTGTGATTTGGGGAAGTTCTGCATTAACATTTTCTCCAGCATCTGCAGTTTCATGGAACAGTTCAGCACCAGCATCTTCCCAAAGCATGTAGCAATGGCCTGAGTGGGAACAGCTAGACATATATAGGTCTTATCCATATGTATCCTTATATGAGGGGAATGCCCAGGCTTGAGACTTCAGCCCTGAGGCTTCTGCTGAGGCTCGGAGGTGGGGGGTGGGAGATCAATGGGTCATTTGTTTTCAAGGGTCTGGTGGGTATCTATGTCAAATTGAATGCACTAAACTCAAACCCCTCAAGATAGGAAAACAAATACTAGATATGAAAGAAAATCCAGGAAGTCATAAAGAAACTTTGTCTTTGGACATACCCCACTGAAAAGGGAGTTGCTGAGATGTTTCTGCTGTTAGACTTTTTAAAAGAACAGAGTGAAAGGGATCAAAATGCTCAAGACCAAATAATTACTCATTTGTCTGGATTGTATTCCCATTATGGATATTTTCCTGGTGTTTAACATGATCTCCTGATACCTGTTGGATTCTTGATAACAGTTAAGGCTGGAATGGTGTTAAGTATAGCTCAACAAAATCTCATAGAATTGTCAAGTGATCACTATGCTAAAGACCAAGTTTCATATCTAAAATACCAGGAATTCTAGATTTCTGTTAAAGAAGAGTATGGAGAACTCAGTGATGAAGCTATGAAAGCGCTGCTTCCATTCACTTCAAGTTATATCTACGTTTGGGTTTTCAGCAATGATTTCTGGGAAAATTAAGTACAGAAATATTTAAACTTGGAAAATGACTTACATCTGCAGCTATCAGAAATTTAGCCAAACATTGTGCAACTATGCAATTTGAGACAGGCCCATTTTTCTCACTAAAATCTTAGACTGTGTCCGGACATGCTAAAAAATTCATAATTTCAAATGACAGTTTTAAAAACCCAGATCAGATCACATTATATAATTAAACTGGAATTGAATAAGGTTGCAAAAATCCAAGCTATAGTGTCCCTCTTGAATCTAGTGTCCTGAACTCTAGAATCTTCTGTCCTCAGTTGGTTAAAAAAACAAAACGGTATTCGGTTGTGGGGAGCCACTAAATTTGAAAATATCTGTAAGAGCCACATTACTAAAAAGTTTAAGAACCACAGGTTTAAAGAAGAAAAATGTTTTTCTTGATAACTGGGAAAACTAAGTTATAGCTCATTGAATATCTGCTCACTGCTAGCTAGATCACAATTTGATTTAGATGGTTGTGGTGGTCACAGAACTTCCTCACATCTTTTATGGTTCAACTGCCATAAAGCCTAATCCTAATGAAAAACATCTAAAAGATTTTTGGACAGTCTTCAATCATGGATATGGTATTTCTGTCTTAGACATCAACTTCTTGATTACTGCAGAGCAGGGAGTGATTCCTCTACACATTCTCATATGAGATGCAGTGCTTGAATTATGGGGGCAAAAGCAGGGGGGCCCTTCACGAATGGAGGCTCCTGGAGGCAATGTTGAGCAAAGTGCCAGAGTATCCATTGGCCAGCTCCTAAGCTGGCATCCTCTATGCTGCTGAGCTGAGCTGCAGAAGGACGGTTTTCTTCCCCCTGCACTTACCCTTTGCCCTCCCCTTCCCCCCCCCCCCCCCCACATCTCCCTTGCCTGTTAATTCCCTCCTTTTGCCCTTGCCTCCTGGACATGTAATCGCCCCTCCTGCCCTATCCCTATATCCCCAGTTACCCTCCCAAAACATGCCTTCTGCCGCCTCCCTGACTCATAATTCCTCCTTCAGGGCCCTCTCCTGGAGTGTGCACATTCTTTCTGCCCGCCACTCCCCTTACACCCAATCAGACTTCTGTCTCCACCTCAAACCTGCCTCCCCTGACACCCCCTAGCTCCCCTCCTGCCTCCCCTAGCCCAGCTCCCACCCCCATGACTCCTAGCTCCCCTAGTCCTGCCCCCATCACCTCTTAACTCCCTTACTCCACTTCTCTTCCAATAGCCCCTTCACTGCCTCCAGTCCTGCTGCTGCCTGTCCCCATTCCACTCTCACCCCCCCACCCACCCAGACCCCTCTCCTGAATGTGGAGCTTCTAGACTGGCAGAGCTGTGTCTTTGCCCCCCTCACAACATCCCCTGTGATGACAGTTCCCATCCTCCGCCATCTTCCCTCCCGTAGCTCCCCAGGGGCCTGACATCCTGTTGTGGTCCAGTCCCCGACCTCGCTTCTCCTCATTCCCCCCCCCCCCCCCAGCCCGCTGCTGGCCAGGACACCAGGCAGCATCTCTCACTTCCTGCCAGGACCAAGGTGCTTCTCCGGAGTGGGGCACAGGAACCTGGAATCCACCACTGAAGCGCAAGCCCTGGCAGCGGGACCAGCTGTGGTCAGTTCCCTCCCCTTGGAGGGTTGGCCCCAGGGCCCTTGACTGCTCCAGCAGCCCACCCCTCTCCGTGGAGTCCAGACAGTCCCCTCACTGCATCCCCCGCAAGAATGCAGCGCCTTTGAATAAGTCAGAAGGGGGAGCCCATAGAAGTAGTAAGGGAGCCCAGCCCCCTAATCCGCTCCATAAGTCACCATTGATGAAGCGTGGCTTTTACATGCTCAAAGAGAATCTGGCATCAGTACCTGGCGGCAGTTCCCCCCTCCCTGCCTAGTGTTGCTACTGGGGTCAGGTTGCAGGGGCTTCCCCTACCCCACCTGCCAGCCAGGGCTTTAGGCAGCAAATTTGTTCCAAGGTTCCCCCCCCCCCATTGGCAGGGCTGGATTAACTTCTTGTGGGCCTGGCACCAAACATATTTGTGGCCCCCCCAGGGAAGGATTGTAAAAAGGGGGTGGAGGCAAAAGCACAGTGGGGCAGGAGCTAGGGTTAGTCCCTGGGTCAAGGGAGGGGCAAACTGCAAGCACAGCAGGGCTGGGGGGAAGGGAGAAACAGGATCTCCACCCCCCCACGCCCACATAGAGCGGGTACCTACCTGGTTCTAGCCCATTCTCTTGTCTCTCTCTGCACTGAGCTGCCCCTCCTCTCTTCCAGCCCTCTGGGGTGGGTGTTGGGAGTGGGAGGAGCGGAGGCTAATGCGGTTATTCCTATAACTGGACTTTTAGTTTCCGGTCTGCACTGCTAACTGGACACTCGGGTTCCGTTTTCTACTGGAGTTCTACAGGGCTGCCAGAAAGGCCTGAGACGGGGAGCGGCAAGCAATTATTTTTAAAAGTGAAAGGGCTAAGCCTAAATGTGGGGGCAGGGAGGGAAGAGAAGAGAAGAGAAAGAGAGAGAGCGCAAGTGGTGGGTGGGCTAGGGAGAGGAAGCAGTGGGCAGGGCCATGTCTGCTGTACTGCCCAGGTAGGTTGGCGACTGTGTGGATCAGCTGACACAGTATCCCCAGCCCAGGTGACGTGACAGCCAGGGGTGGATTTAGAGTTGGTGGGGGCCCCCCCCCAGCCCTGTGCTCAGCTTCATTTTCGGGGGCCCTCCTTGTGACCCAGCCAAGAACATTATTTTCATTTACTTGCTATTACTTGGAGGATGAAGAAAAAAAAGAAAGTGAGGTACTTTGATTGTTCATGTAGTCCAACTTATTTTTCCCCACAGACCACTTGAAAAAATCACAGAGGGTCTTGACGGACCACTTAATGAGCTTTCCAAATATTGTTAAAAAAATGCTGGGGTACTGGATTTACCAGTTGACTGGGGTCCCTAGGCATGGGCCACATTGCCACTGCCTGAGCACGCCATGCACCTACTCCTCCCCCCAGTGCCTCCTGCATGCTGCAGGACAGCTGATTGCAACAGGTGGGAGGTGCTGGGGGAAAAGGGAGCTGATAGCAGGGTTTCCAGTGGGTGCTCAGCACCCACCTTCCCCCACTCCCCTCTCCCCATGGGTGGTCCAGCCCTGGAGCACCCCTGGAGTCAGCCCTATGGTCATGCTGGTGGGGGGAGTGGCACTATACGTGAAAGAAAGCATAGAGAGTCAAATATGGTAAAAATCTTAAAACGAAACAAACTGTACCACAAAAATCTCTATGGATAGAAATTCCATGCTTGAATAATCAGAGCATAGCAGTAGGAATGTACTGCCAACCACCTGACCAGGATGGTGATGGTAAAATGCTCTGGGAGATGAGAGGCTATTAAAAAAAAAACCAAAAAACCACTTAATAAAAAGGGGATTTCAGCTATCCTCATATTGACTGAGTACATGTCACCTCAGGACAGGATACAGCCATAGTGTTTCTAGACACCATATGACTTTCTTGGAGCAACTAGTCCTGGAACCCACAAAGAGAGGACTAAATCAAGAATTGCCTCTAAGTGGGTAATTGTGGCCATATATTTAATTATATTACTCTCCTTGTGAGGGGGAAAAAAAACAACGAAAAGCCCACCACAGTAGCATTTAACTTCAGAAAGGGAACTACACAAAAATGAGGAAACTAGTTAAATGGAAATTAAAAGGTACAGTCACAAAAGTGAAATGCCTGCAAGCTGCATGGAAACTTTAAAAGCACCATAATAAAGACTCAAATTAAATATTTACTCCAAATTAAAAGCATAGTAAGATGACCAAAAAAGTGTGACCATGGCTGTGATGGTTCCTCTCAGGGTGCCACCTGGAACTGGGGTACTGCTGAGTCCCCCTGACCCACCAGCCTGGGCTCCCTTTACACTGTACTGCCGTGACAGGCTGCCAAGCCCTCTCCAGGCTCCAGCCTGCACTTTCACCAGCACACATACAGGTAGGGACACATGCAGACACTCTAACCAGCTACTACATAGGAAGGCTCCAGTCAGGATACTTCCCAGCTACTCAGGCATGCACCCCTCTGGAGCGTAAACCCACAATTATACTGTCTTGCATTGCACAAGGAACGGTGCAGCATAAGCTAATGAACTGTCCCAGATTGAGGTGTCATTAGAGAAGGTTTTGGAACAAATTGGTAAATTAAACAGTAATAAGTCCCCAGCAACAGACAGTATTCACCCAAGAGTTCTGAAGGAACTCAAATCCAAAATTGCAGAACTGCTAACTGTAGTATGTATCATTTAAATCAGCTTCTTTACCAGATGCCTGCAGGCTAGCTAATGTGACACTGACTGGTTGGGTAACAGAGACCCCCTTGGGACTGTCACCTTAGAGGTTTTTAAGGTCAGGCTTGACAAAGCCCTGGCTGGGATGATTTAACTGGGAATTGGTCCTGCTTTGAGCAGGGGGTTGGACTAGATGACCTTCTGGGGTCCCTTCCAACCCTGATATTCTATGATTCTATGATTCTATGTGCTGAGACTACCTCTGAGCCCCTTTTCTTTGCCCGTTTGCTAACAGTATGCAGCTAGCAATATTTGTTAAAGTGTAGGTGTTTTGGCATTTAGCCACCAATGCTATGAGGCAGTGTGCTTTAGTTTCTCCTTCCACACAGCAGCGCAGGCCTGTTATGCTTTTGCTGCTGTACAAGGTTCCAGCCTGTTTACAGGTATAAGCTGAAAAGCAACACGCTTGTGGGACTGTTCTGTCACCATCCCTAGCATGTACAAAAGTTTTCCCCACAAATCAGGTATGTTATACATCTTTAAAGGGTTTACCGTTAGTATTAACCTTTGTCTTGACCCATAGATGAAGTAGCAAAAGACAAGATTTAACAGCAAATCTACGGTGGACAGGCGCTGTTCACACAATTTAGCTTGTTCAGTGTCTATTGCATTTCCCCAATTCCTTTGTGTACCATGGTAGGGGTTTAGACAGTGTCTTTTTGGAGGAGGCTCTGCCTCTCAATTCAGGCACGTCTTTGAGGCTTTGGCAAAGAAAGGGTGCACTGCAGCCATGCCTGCCCTCAGCCCCTCCCTCTGTAAATTTCTTTTGGTTGGACTCCATGCCTTTGTGAAGCTTCCCAAATGCAAAGTTTTTCTTCCCCCAGCCTTGAAGAGACAGTGTTATCTTTTACAAGGGTAGTAGGAATAACATTCTTTAATGGAGTGCTTCGGTTTGGTAAAATCCCCCTGGTCACCCCACTCTGATCCCAACAGGTCAGCTGGGTGGACACTCTCCTCCAGGAGATCTGACCCCCAGTCTTTCCTTAAAACTGGATCCACAGGTGAGAGGTCTGGCATTTCAGATGCAGATTCTGCACACTCCTCCTGGTGGAAAGCCTCCCTACAAAAGGTGGGCAGGCCCTCCTGACCCGCCCCCCCCCCCCCGCACACACACCTTCTGTCTGGACTTCCCTTTTGGGGGACACAGTGGCTGCCTCAGAGGGGAGCCCAGAGAGGGAAGGTGACCCTGATCCAGCTGTAGGCTATGAGTTATGACAGACCCTTCACGGTCCAGCAAAATCCACAACCCCTTTCACTTGGGTTGGGCTTGCTTCCAGCTACAGAGTCCTTGGGATCTGTTCCCACTACAGCAGTCACCAGGACACCAACTTCCATCTTGGGGTGCATGTCTGTGCACCCTGGGGCAGGACCTGTTCCCTGCTGACCTGCAACTTCCTGGCAGTCAGCAGCTGGGAAGGCCTCCCTGTTACAAGGTGAAAAGTTCTCCTCCCCCAGGGAGATGATCATGGGACAGGAGCTAGCTCTATCCAGCCGCTCCCGCAGGGACTTGCCTTGAGCCCTGGGCTTACAGGAACTGGTTACAACCATCCCTGCTGCTACCACTGAGCAATTAAAGAGACACTTTTACCCTCCTCTCTAGGGCTTTCAGCACGAGATTCCTTCTTGCTGCTAACAAACCCTGAGAGATTCTGCCACATCAAAAAAAAAAAAAAATCATTCCCCAGTAGAAATGGTGCAAAATTGTGTGCTACTGCTGCAACAGTCAGTTCAGCCTGCAAATCACCAGTTTCCATGTGTACCTTAGCTAAAGGTGCAAGGACTTGGTAACCTCCCACCTATTCTAATTCTGCCATTTTCTCTGGTAACAAACCCTTCACATGGATCAGGTCCCTCCTGACCACAGAAATTTCTGCACCTGTATCTCTCCATCCTTGGAGCACTTCGCCATTAAGTTTAACAGCATACATATGTTCACTGCTTGGTTGTGTAAAAGCAAGCTTTACAAATCCTGTGTGGAAAGAGGAAGTAGCATGGGATACCCCTGTGCTCTGAAAAGCAGCAGCTTCACGTGTTACCTGTTGCTTGTTTCCACTCAGCCAAGGACATTTATTGCTCAGTGGACGTACAATGATAGCACCTTTTGGGCTCCTCTGCTTGTACAGGAGATTTGGGATGAGTAACAGGAGAATGGGGAGGTGAATGCCCAGCCTCCTTTCCCCCCTGGGTAAAAATGGTGATTCTGCTTTCCACCAACCCTGTACCCCCCTCTGCCAATGGTTTATGTTTAATTGCAGCTTGTGACTGCTCGTAAGAGTCTACAAACTCAGCCAATCCACCCACTGCCATCACCTTGTTGTCCCACAAATACTGTTTACATCACTGCACATATTCAGGAATTGTTCCTGAGTAACCAAATCACACATTCCTTCAAAGTTTGTAATGCCTTCCCCCCACACACACACACTTATCTAACAAATCTCTCATTTTATTTACATAAGAGGGGATCTGGATTGAGTAATGTGGCTTAAGACTCCTGAATTTAAGCCTTTAGGTTTGAGGTGTAATCTGATATGGTTTTAAAACCAGTTCTTTAAATTTACCATAGTTTGAAGTATCATCAACTGGCATCTTATTGATTATGTCTAGAGCTCTCCTAATCAATTTTGCTACCAATATAGTCATTTTTTGACCTTCAGGAATTGCATGGAGGGTACACAGTCTCAAAGGCGATGAAATATTTGGCAATATCCCTGGATTCATAATACTGTGGACATCATTCCCATTCATGGATTTTTGTGAAGTGGAGCCAGCTACTGAAGAGCTTGGTCTCTTCCACTCCATAACAGTCAGTTCATGCTTCTGAGCCTCAATTTCTCTCTTTTAACTCCAGAGCTAGCTGCCTCTTTCTTTCTCCTGCTGAGCATCTTGCTGTGCTAGCCTCTGAGACTGAAGCCCAGTGTCTGAACTCCAGGGCTAACCTCTGGGTTTCCACGGCTCTATTGTGAGCAGCTTTCTCCCTGGCTGCCTCTGCTTCTTTGAGCTTCATTTGAAACTCACAGTCCTTTGCCTTCTGCTTTCAGTCTGGCCAGCTCTTGTTTTGTAGCTGCCTCACTGGTAGTCATTTTCCTGCTTTCTTGTGCTAATGTCCTTTACCCGAATCAAAACAGAAAACAAACTAGTAACCACTTGGTCTGTTCTCTAGCCACCACACTTAAAATCACTACCAATGTCTCAAAGCAATCAGCTGTGCACAGATCCTGCTTGACTACACCACTGACAGGTTGGGTCACAGGGATGGTCACCTGATGTACTGAGACTACCTCTGAGCCAGTTTTTTCTGCCAGTTTGGGCCTCCAGAACCCCGCCTTGAGCCAGACAGCCAGTTTGCTCCAACACAGGCCCAAGGTCTGAACCATGTGCCCCAAACCTGTAGACTTAACTGAAAACAGCTCAAGACTTGCTCCTGTCTCTAGAACCCAGACATCCAGGTCCCAATGGGATCCAAACCCCAAATAAATCCATTTTACTCTATAAAGCTTATAGAGGGTAAACTCAAATTGTCTACCTTCTATATCACAGAGAGATATGCACAGCTGTTTGCTCCCCAGGTATTACTTACTCTGGATTAACAAACAAAAGTATAACAACTAGGATTTAAGTGGTTCCAAGTAATGACAGACAGAACAAAGCAAGTAACCACAGCAAAACATGCTAATCTAAGCCGAATACATTTAAGAAACTGATTACAGAGATGTTCCATAAGCTTCTTTCACAGACTGGGCTCCTTCCTAGTCTGGGTCCAGCAATCACTCACACCCCTGTAGTTACTGTCCTTTGTTCCAGTTTCTTTCAGGGTGGAGAGGACATCTTCAAGCCAGCTGAAGACAAAAGGAGAGGCACTTTGTCATTGTGATAAATGAGGGGGGTAGCTCCCTTTTATGGACACCCAGCCAGTTAGTAGCTATAGAATCCTCCTTAGCAGATGTACCCTAATTGCCTTAACTGTAAAGGGTTAAGAGAAGCTTAACCTGAGTTGGCACCTGACCAGGGGAACCAATAGGGAGGCTGTACCCTTTCAAATTGGAAAAACTGCTGGGGGTGGAATTCTTTACCCCTCGGGCTGGAGCGGGGGGGGGGGAAGGCAGCAACAAGTTTTAAGCCACGTATGGGAAATCATCAGCATCATTCCTAGAAACTCCTCATTTGGAACCCCAGATATGTAAGTAGCACAGGAAAAGTTAAGACATTGAAATGTGCATTTCCTTCCAGGTTCTGACCTCTCTTGTATGCATTTGTTAGTTTGTTTTCCTTTTCCAAAACTAAAGGTTTCCTGGGAATTAATGAAATAAGAGGTGAGTACAGAACTCTGAGACTTGCACCATAAACTTTTCTTATCCCTGCCCATTTCCCAGGATAAACCTAGGCCCTACTGAACCAGATGCAAGTGCCTTTGTTATGCACTGGACTAAGAGTGTAAGGAATACTGTCCAGCTGATCAAATGAAATGTTGATCCTTTAACTTCAGGTTCCCACATAGGTGTTTTGATTTACATTTAAAGACAGACCTAATTTTGCTTGAAAAAAGGAGTATTTATTGTGGCTTAGTAACTATTCTTTAAATAAAATATCTATTACATTATTCAACTTCAAATAGGATTTTATTTTCTCTTTAGAGTGAATGTTGAGTCCATAGAAGTACTAAATTCATATCTCTGATATGACAGACCTAATAATGAAACAATCCTAGTCTTCCAAAAGACAAGAAAAGAAACCCAGACCTTTCAATGCAATATTAGAGCTAGTGGAATCTCCCTCTAGTCAGTCAGTTCTCTGAACCACAAAAAAAAATGTTTGAAAATGGAAAATATCAGCCATAACCCAGTTTATTAATAGACAATATATACACTATTTAAAAGTGGTCCTTCTGTGGATGAGCTAGGTTCTACATGTCTGCTCTTTACGCAAGTGAAAAAGCAGCATGTCACTAATGTCCCACTAGGCAACAATCAATATATTGTGCCAACACCTAGCTGATAAAAGATTGACTAATAGACACTTGGTGATTGCAGAAGGCAAGTCTTTAGAAGCAAAAAAATTGTCACAGGATCAACACCTGCTGGACCATGAAATAAAGCCTGCCTCAGCATAACTTTGTGTATGCATTCCTCAAAGGGAGTCCACCTTCTCATAGGCCTGTTCAAGGAGGGTCAACATGTTCTTCATCTCAGCTGAGTGCTGGATGGTGCTTAGGTCCTTCAGAATACCTTTCTGGTCTTGGATTTTCAGAATCTCCTCCTGAGAAGGAAGAAAGGAAGGAAAATGGAGAATGGGTGAGAGAAATACAAGACCTAACCATTTCACTTAGGGCACGTCTACAGGGAGCAACACTGCGCACTATGAGAGTGCGTTTTAGAAATCACACACCTCCCTCTCTTCCCACCCGTTGCGCATTGCTGCTATGTGTAGACAAGCCATTAAGAGTCCAGGAGAAATTCCATCCAATAAGACTTTATTTCCAGTGCAGTCCCAACTGTCTACAAGGTGACATGAGGGTAGTGATCCTTAACACTTGGATGGAAATATCTCACAAGGGACCATTTAATAAACTTCTCTCTGGGATCAGGGATAGGCAGACAGTTCTTATTCAGAGTATTTTACAGACTATTCAAACGCAAACACATTGCTCTGCCCAGGAGAGGGGAAATGCTAACAATTCCCGCTAGAAAGGGCAGTATGGCTTCTGTTGTCTCCTCCTCATTGGCTGGGAGGTCTCTGAAAACATGGTGCCCTGTCCCTGCTCACCTGCAGAGTGGGTGCTGTCAGACTGTGCTTTGGGAGTTCTGGAAGGCTGAGGACTCCTGTACCATTTTTCTGGAACACCTAGAGAAGCAAGAAAAATAAAATGTGATCACAGATGCAAACAGATTCTTTATGTGCCACCATCCTCCTACTTTCTTAATCCTGAAAGACAGAAATCCCTGATGTTTAGAAATCCTTGAAAATGCACACTCCTAATCCCAGGTGTGTCTCTCCTACACAAGGCCCTCTGCTGACGGATCATGTACTGGTTGGTTCCAGAAATATGCCCTCCTGGGATCAATGCAGCAAATCTTGTTATAAGATACCTTCTTAGCCTTGTCCTCAGCTTCCTCCAACCGGTTCCTGAGACTCTGGATTTTGTCCTGCAGGCTCTGAATATTCTCGTCTGTGTTCTCAGCAGTCTGCACAGCTGTTGTTATTTCTTCCTGGGTTAAAATGGAAAGAATAGAACAAATACATTTAAAAACGGTTTATATGCAAAACATTGTGCTAGAGTCCCACCCAAACTGTCCTATCTTTAACTTCCCTGACAAACACGGATGCTCAAGAAAGAACACGAAATCAACAGAATTAAAGGATTGAAGTCTTTTCTATCACCTGACAGCATTTGTATGAAGCAACGAAAGAGCTCTATTACGACTTGGTCGTTGATCTTTGTCTGTGAACAAGAAGCTTGGATTCAGTTCCAGCATGGAATTAAGAATCCAGTCCCACCTTCTCCCAACCCCACAGCTGCTCTTCTGTTAGACACAGCTTGACTAGATGAGCCAAATAAGCCAGATAAGCTCCTGTTAAAATACCATGATGACAGCCACCTTATGCATCTACATGAACTCTTGCAGGGGAATCAGAGAGGAAGACAAATGCTCTGAGAAGTTGAAAATGATATTGTAAATAATATTTATGTAATAGAATGTCAGGTTCTATGCAGAGATGTTGAGTTCTTTTACTGACTCAATGACAGACCAGGTGGCTCCTATTCTCTCCAATTCAGAAGGTTATTTCTGCCTCCAAAAGACACTCAAAGGGGAAAATCCCTCTGAACAGCCAGCTCAGGGTTATGTTTGATGTTGCCACTTAAGTAAACCATAAGAACAAAACACTGGAAAGGGGAAGTTTGAAGCAGATGAAGTGTGAGAGGCACAGGCACGGACTGTCACCTGCTTACGCTGTAGTTTTTGGTAGGTTTCAGAGTAACAGCCGTGTTAGTCTGTATTCGCAAAAAGAAAAGGAGTACTTGTGGCACCTTAGAGACTAACCAATTTATTTGAGCATAGGCTTTCGTGAGCTACAGCTCACTTCATCGGATGCATACTGTGGAAACTGCAGAAGACATTATATACACAGAGACCATGAAACAATACCTCCTCCCACCCCACTCTCCTGCTGGTAATAGCTTATCTAAAGTGATCACTCTCCTTACAACGTGTATGATAATCAAGGTGGGCCATTTCCAGCACAAATCCAGGTTTTCTCACCCCCCCCCCCTTTTTCCAAAAAACACACACACACAAACTCACTCACCAGCAGGAGAGTGAGTTTGTGGGGGGAAGGGGGGGCGGAGGGTGAGAAAACCTGGATTTGTGCTGGAAATGGCCCAACTTGATTATCATACACATTGTAAGGAGAGTGATCACTTTAGATAAGCTATTACCAGCAGGAGAGTGGGATGGGAGGAGGTATTGTTTCATGGTCTGTGTGTATATGTCTTCTGCAGTTTCCACAGTATGCATCCGATGAAGTGAGCTGTAGCTCACGAAAGCTTATGCTCAAATAAATTGGTTAGTCTCTAAGGTGCCACAAGTACTCCTTTTCTTTTTGCTGTAATTTTTCTTGTCCTTCCCAGAACATGCCATATTGGATTTCTTCCATAACATAAGAAAGGATGCCTCTTGTTCCCTGCTACCCACAGGCAAGAACAGCGGAGGCAGAAATCCAATAGAAACAAGACGTGGATAACAAAATATTGTTTCAGCATCTTCAGTACTTCCTCGTCTGCCAGCAAGTTTGGTGGGATTTTGTTTTAAAACTGAACACAATGATTCTTCATGGTAGGTGGCCTTACACAGCACTTCCTGATTAACTTTCCATCAAGCACAGAGCCCTGCCTCCTTCCTGCTCTGTGGCAGATGAGCTAAAGACAGTGATTTGCTTGTCTGTGGAAGTGTCAAATTGGATATAGATTGTTCCCTGTAGCATTAGAATATGGAATGATAATCCACAGCCATTTTTCGACTTAGTCTAAGAAACAAAGAGGAAGCAGAAACATATTTTAAGGTCACCAGTTTGAGTCATAGTGGTCATTTGTGCTATCTTACTCACCACCACTATGGAGTTTCACGGGGAGAGGGGCGACACTATACAACACACTATAAATTCTGTCGCCTCCTCATTACACCGTCCACTGCATCTCAGCCTCCAGAGTAACCACAGCACGAAATCTCACTGTCTAATAGAATGCTTGTGTGAAGACCTTGAAAGGATGAGGGATCTGGGTTACTAATCAGTTAGATTAGTGATCACCACCACAGAATCCAATTATGTGCCAAATTTACACCCCCACCCCAGCAAGAAACAGGCCATGTGGTTACTTGTAAATTTGCGTTATCCCAAACTACCATAACAAGGGGAACTGCACATCAGAGATCTGCTCAAATATTACTACCTAACCACAGAAATGTAGGGCTGGAAAGGAGGTCATTCAGTCCATCCCCTGTGCTGAGGCAAGACCAAGTATGCCTAGACCATCCCTGACAGGTGTGTGTCCAACTTGTTCTTAAAAACCTCCAATGACGGGGATTCCAGACCTTCTGTTGGAAGTCTATTCTAGTGCTTAACTACACTTAGTTAGAAAGGCTTTCTTAATAGCTAACTTAAATCTCCCTTGCTGCAGATTAAACCAATTAGTTCTTGTTCTATCTTCAGTGGACATGGAGAACAACTGATCACTATCCTCTTCAAAACAGCCATTAACATATTTGAAGACTTATGTCCTCCTGTCAGCCTTCTTTTCTCAAAACTAATCACATCCAGTTATTTTAACCTTTCCTGATAGGTCAGGTTTTCTAAACCTTTTATCATTTTTGCTCTGAACTGTCCCCAGTTTGTCCACATCTTTCCTGAAGTGTGGCACTCACAACTGGACACAGTACTCCAACTGAGCCCTCACTAGTGCCGAGTAGAGCAGGACAACTACCTCCCATGTCTTACAAACAACATTCTGTGATAGGGTATATCAGGCCCTTTGAGGCTCCCTGCTGGAAGCCTTAGGATCCTAACCATACCCCACCACAGGAAAAGGAGCAGTGAAAGCCATGTCCTCCAAGCTATAATTTCAACAGGTCCAGAGATGAGGTGAAGACTTTTAGTTCTGAGTCTTATCCCCTTCTTGGGGGCTAAGGCCATTTCCCGAGTGGCTGATGGGGGGACCTAACCCTACCCACTACTCCAGGTCCCATCTACTAGTAACCCTCTCAAAAAAGGAAATTAGGTTGATTTAGCATGATTTGTTCTTTACAAATCCATGCTGGCTATTCTTTATAACCATAGTATCATATAGATGCTTACAAACTGACTGTTTAATAATTTGTTTCCGTATCTTTCCAGGTACGGAAGTTAGGCTGACTGGTCTAGAATTCCCTGTGTCGTCTTTGTTCCCCTTTGTACTGTGATGCACATCAGAAATTTTTTTTTAAACAAAGTGCCTGATAAAAGAGGTGAATAAGACCAGGATTGAGTGAACCTGGACTGAATTTCCTCCTCATCCCAGGAGACTGTAGTCTCTCCAGTGCACAGTTGGGATCCTTCAATGCAGCAGTGTGAAGTGAAGCTCAGGAATGAGAGAACATGCACACCTGAAGTTCCCCTCCCACCCCTAGAGTAAATGGTCCTTCCATTGAAAGGCCAGAATCTATTGGGGAGCAGAACAAGGATTTATACTTTTTTTATTCCTATCCCATACCCCCTTTGCCCCATGTCTCCCTTACCTGCAGTAGTGCCGCCGCCTCTTCATTGAATGAGAGATTCTCTTTCTCTGCCACCTTAAGACTCGGCACATTTTTCAGGTTGCTTAGCTTCCCAACAGGCACCTTCAGGGTCCTGTAACGTCTCAGAAGCCTTGATTATATATATATAAAAAAGCATCACGTGTTTGTTCCTTAAAAATAAGGTAACCCACTAAAGACCTGTATAGGGAGACGACATGTTCATCACATACCAATCCCAGAGCTTCTCTCACTCAAGTAAAGGGCCCAAAGCGTTCAAGAAAGAAAAAAGGGAGTGGGCTGAAATTCTCTTTCAAGAGTGGTGTGGGTTTAGATGCCTGAGCACAGAACTAGGAGCCAGCAACTCTAGAAGTCTTATCTTGGCTATGACGGTGTTGTCTGCTGTGGTCTCACTTAATCCCTTTGGCTCAGTTTGGCATCCGTAACGTTAAGTAGGTTAGTACTATTCTCAGGTCTTTAAGATTAATTAATTTTTGTGAAGTGCTGTGGAAGTGCTTAGTGTTATTATTTATAGAACCCTGCAAATTTGTGGATATCTGCTTTATATCCATGGATGCAGTTGTGGTGTTTACCATCTTTGCAGACTTGATGCGGATCCAAATGTTTGTATCCGTTGCAGGGCTCTCAGTGAGATAGGGCGCTGATGCGGATACATATAAAAGGTGGAGTGCGGATCGGATACAAGCTAATTATTGCGGATGCTGATCGGGTGTGGATGGAAATTTTTGCATCTGTGAAGGGCTCTAATTATTTAAACCAATGAAGATCAGTTTTGACATGTGAATTGATTTTTCACTGAGGATTCTGATGCTTAAAACAAGTATTCATAATGGTTCATCCTTTAGTTTTGCTAATTCTTTGTACCTTTGCTCAGTCATCTTTTTACCATCTACTAAAGCCAAGACTCTTTTTTTGAGGGGGGAGAAGGGGGAAGAGAGAGGAGAAGGAGCTGGAATTGCTCATAAATGTCATCTTTTTAAGGCTGGATTATCGTAAGTCTTTACTGCAGTAATGTCTAATTATAAAAGTTCAGGATGGAACTCATACCCAGTGCTACAGCCCATATGCTTACAAGCACTGACCTATGTCAATAAATTATTCCCATCATAAAATATTTACATTGCGTCTCAGTAAATACAACATTAACTTGCAAAGAACTAAATAGCCTTGGATTTAAGACAAACATTATAACCCCTTTCAGTTACTGGAGGTCAGAATCAATATCCTATTTAATTGTTCTTGATATAATATAAAGGTACTAGGAGCTAGGGTTATGTTGTGGCTATGCTCCTGGATATGAAACTTACTTCTAAGTACTATCTGTGCTGTTCTGATGGTTTCACTATTTAAAATAAAACTAACTAAATGCTTATGTGCAGCACTTCCTGTTTCCCAATTTGGACCCATTCATTTGAGTAACTTTATACGGTGTCCTGTGCCTTTGTTAAAGATACTACATAGACATGTCAGAGCAAGAGCTTTACACCTGTTTTCAGAAGTGGCCATTAATTTTGGAGGTGCCTTGATTTTTGGATGTCCAGTGTGAAATAGCTTGGTCTGATGTTCAGAAATGCTGAGCTCCCACAACTCTCCCTGAAGTTAATCAGAGCTGCGAACACTCAGCACCTCCAGAAATCAGGTGATGGTGTCTCATGTTGGTCCATCAAGTCTGGTATTGGCCTCTGGCAGTAGCCAGTAATCGCCACTCCAAAGGAAGACAAATCTTTCACAGTATAACTGGCTATCTGAGCAATGAAGTACAAGAAGGCTGCACTTTATGCCCAACACGAGATTACCCCTCTCCACGCATGCTATTAATGGTCACAGCTCTTAATAACCTGAGCGAGGGGTTTTGATTTTTTTTAAACCGCTGATGTCACAAAATGATCGTGGCTCTGAATTGCCAAATTCAATATCTCACTTTCTAATACAGTTCTAGAGCATATAGTTCATTCCAGCAGCTCTCAGGAATGCTGTCTGAGTGCCTGTTGCCTATATAAGGTGGTTAAAGGGAGGCTCTGCCACTTTGAACAAATCTTGTTCATCCACTTCAGCAAATATGCTCTTGAGATTTCCCTTTCTTGATCATACAGCAGCTTCCCTCTGATAGATTTCCTGAAGGTGACAGCTCCCGGGAGTGAAGGAACATTTCTAGGTATACATTACAAAGTCACTGAGAGCCCTTAGGTCTTTTCCATACCACTCATTACCTTTCCTTCAGGAGGTTGAGGTGCTTTTGAATGTCATCTTTTTCTTGTATTGATTTACTTAGAATGGATCTAGAAGGAAAAAGCAAAACGTTAATTTCTCCCACAGAACCTATATATATATATATATATGGAACTTCCTAGAATGGGATTATATGATCAGCAATGTCACACAAGACATGACTATCTAGCAGAGCTTCCATGAAATAATATTGCTGAACTGCAAATATAGCCAGTTATGTTGTCAGTTTACCTGGGTATGTCTATTTTTCCCACTATCTATTAAATGTCTCAAGGCCTCTTTCTACCCCAGGCTGAGAACACCTTCCAAATCTCATCTCATGCTTTCTAAATGAAGAGTTCCAGTACCAGATGGACCTGGTGTCATGTGCTACAGTGTTTTGAATTCTCAAGAACTGATTAGTTGCTCGGACACTTTCAGAATGATTTTTTTACTAGCTATTTCATTAAGCCTCCTAATTACTTGAGGAAACAATGAGATTCCTGGTCTTATGTGGTTGAAGCCTTGGCTGAGGGATGAGATGCGGTGGTGCTTGATACTTGCAATATTACTGAATCCATCATGCCTCCCAGGTGGTCGATGCTACTGGCTGGGAGTGGCTGCCATGCTGCTGTTTTGCCAGGGGCCAACTTCACCTTTTTTGTGCCCCGAGAACCTGTTTCTGTTGGTATCAGAAAGACAGAGAGAAGGAGAAACAGTCAAGATGTGACCTATTGGACTTGGATAAAAAACTTTATGGTAAATCAGTTACTTCTCTGACCCCCAAATGACTGAGCTATCAACTCAAGAACAGATTTTCTGCCCCAAAGAAACAGCATCTCAGACCCCTGTCCACACTGTCAGTAGTAGTTATTTCTAAAGCACTGACAGTATGTTTGGTGATGTAAAACACACAGAAGATATGTGGTCCCTGCCCTAAGAAGCTTTCATTCTATTATGATTTCCTCCCAACATAATTGATAAAACTGGTGAAAGGATTGAGAAGTAAGCCCCTAAGAAGCTATTTTAGCTACTGGTCCATAACACATCCTCCTCCCCAGTGACACTTGAGCTAGTGACATTAGGCACTAATATATGACTGACTCAGGTTTGATTTCCAGCCCTGATTTCTAAACTGATGGATGCAGCAGAAGTTGGAAGTGCTGCAGAGATGGCATGTTCTATTTGAGAAGGAGAAGGGAATGTTTTCTGTCACTTAGCAGTGACTTCTCCAGACTGATTAAGGAGTTTTAAAGGTTCTAAAAGGAATAGATTTAGATGGTAAACTCATGAGTAAACTGAAGGTAAACTCATTTATTCACAGGTATTTTTAGTAAAAGTAATGGACAAGTCACGGGCAATAAACAAAAATTCACTGCCCGTGACTTGTCCATGACATATACTAAAAATACCGGTGACTAGATATTGGGGGGAGGGGAGAGCAGGGGAAGAGTGCTACTTGGGGGGAGGGGGTACCTGGGGCCAGTGGCTCCAAGTGCCAGGGGCCACGGAACGTGGATGCTCCGGTGGCCAGGGACCGCTGCCTAGGGCTGCAGACTGCAGTTGCTCCAGCTGGCCACCTGCCCGGGGGCCACGGCCGCTGGAGCAGTGGCTGATGTAGCTGTCCCCGGGGCCGCTCAAGCAGTGGGTGGTGTGGCTATCCCAGGGCCACCTGAGCAGGTAGCCCTGGGGCCAGTCACACTGGCACCTGCAGAAGTGATAGAGGTTGCAGAAAGTCACAGAATCCGTGACTTCCACAACCTGTGTGACAGACATGGAGCCCTACTCATGAGGGCAGGGACCTTGTCTACTTCTTTGTATATTAAGTACCATGTACACAATAATCCAGTAGCCATCAAGGGATCAGGAGCAAGTTAAAATGAGGACCCTTGTGGTCCTGATAGACACACACAGGCCCCACCACAAGCACGCAACAGAAAAGAAACATACTATTTGGAAGTAAAATAATATATTTTAATAAGAAATAGAAATGCATCTTGGCTAAGATTATACAGAGGCTAATTTATTTTTTGTCAGGCACAGAAAAAAAAAGGAGGCCTATTTGTAATCCTATTTTGATAAAACTTATGAGTTATTTCCTGTTCTCAGTGTTGCTTCAGAGTATGGATTTATGGGCAAAGCACTAAAATATTGATGGGATACAGACATGTACAGAAAATAAGGAAATTTGTACCTTCTGGGGACTGCTCCCTCTGTCGCTTCTCTCTCTTCTTGGCTGGCTGTGTGACCTGGTAAAAAGGAAAATTTACACCACAGAAAGAAATGTGTCCAGGCAATCTTCGACTTTACGACGTTTGACTTACGATTAACGGCACTTACGATGCTTCTGAAGTGACACCCTGATTGACTTATGACAAGTGGTTTTGACTTTTCGATGCTCGGTTCCACAATGGAGTGGATTGCAGTTCCGAGTTATGACGCTTCGACTGACGACACAATTTTCAGGAACCAATTATGTTGTAAGTCCGAGGACTGCCTGTAAATGTTTTCTGGTGTATGGGACCATCCACTTGCTACCAAGGACCCACTTGGTAGTAAGGGCTGTGGAGGCATTTGCTTACATGACAATGGCCTTTTGCCATTGGTCGCCTCTCCTGTAGTAAAGGCTTGTTTTCTGGTTTGTGCAGCCATAGTCATGGAGCACACATTCTCAAATAAGAGCATATCTCTTACAAGTTCTGCAGGCCTCTTTCAGTCTTAAACAGGAGGAAGCAACTTATAACCAGACCTCTTTAACTCTCACATTACAGAAGCAAGTCTGCAGATGAGAAAATGTAGGGGCTTATTTCTCCTAATCTCTTTTCAACAGCTTTTTGGGACCGTGATGCTCATAAGGCTGATTGTGACAAGGAACATCTTTCAGATAGAAAGCTGTCTGTGTCAATCTTGTGCCCTGAAGACCATGAGCCAGAAGTGATCCACTTTCTCCAAGAAATTACTGAGCTAAGATTTTATTGCTCTAATCACCTACTCCAGGGATGGCAAACCTGAGCCTGAGAAGGAGTCAGAATTTACCAATGTACATTGCCAAAGAGCCACAATAATACATCAGCAGCCTCCCATCTACTCCCCAGTGCCTGCTGGCAGCCCCCAACAATCAGCACCTACTCCCCCACCGCCATCAGCTGTTTCACGTGCACAGGAGGCTACGGGGGGGGGGGGGGAGTGAAGGCATGGCAGGCTCAGGGTACGGGGCAGGAGCCTTGGGGGAAGGGGTGGAGTGGGGGCAGGGCTTGGGGCAGAGCAGAAGGTTGAGCAGTGAGCGCCCCCCAACACATTGGAAAGTTAGCATCTCTAGTTCCAGCTCCGGAATCAGTGCCTAGGTAAGGAGTCGCATATTAACCTCTGAAGAGCTGCAGGCGGCTTTGGAGCCACAGGTTGGCCACCCCGATGTAGTCACTAATGAGTTCTAGAATACATCCTGGGGAGGGATAGCTCAGTGGTTTGAGCAGTGGCCTGCTAAACCCAGGGTTGTGAGTTCAATCCTTGAGGGGGCCATTTAGGGATCTGGGGCAAAAAAAAAAATTGGGGATTGGCCCTGCTTTGAGCAGGGGGTTGGACTAGATGATCTCCTGAGGTCCCTTCCAACTCTGATAGTCTATGAGTCTAATAGATGAATGGCCAGTTCTGTTTTGTTAAGCTATGGGACTACACTGCCCCCTCCTGGCCAATCACATAAAATTCAGATAGCTACTTCCTCCAGGCCCTGAGGATTTTTTCATGTCTTTTCCAGTCAGTCTGTGTGTTGCAGAGAGAAGAGGTGCATGCTTATCTTGAACAGAGTGGATATTTGCTCAAGTTAAGCAAATATTCAAAGAAAAGCTCTCCTCCACACACACACACACATTAGTAGAAGGATGGCATATTCTCTCTTCCCACTTGAATAATTTAATTTCTTTGGGCTGATTAGTCTGAAATGTAATGACCTCTTTCTCTTGTCCCCGTTTTTGTCCTCCATCTGCTTTTTTGCTGGAAGGTTCTGGGTGCTGCTGTGACTTGCTCCTCTTTTGTGCCGCTCCTTCTCTGACAGACTTCCCTGCCTTAGGGGGATGAGCACAGTGATGTTTCATGACCTTTAAAGCAGTGGGGAGAGAAGTAGAGGTCAACAGAGACAGAGATTTATAATCTATAAAGAAGTGCAAAACACACATCTATTGAACAGGAAGTCTATGTTGAATACAGCATAACCTTTTGTGTATTTGAGTGCATCGCTCCCTTGGTAAATGTCTCCAGTTGCTGCCTAATGTAGAAGCCATTGGATATTCTACATGTGCCCACAGACACCCTTGCCCCCATTACTCCCCAGACCCATTAGCCAACATTTGTTTGTTATGTGATCATAAACACCAATGTCATGCATGTTACAAAGACTATTTACATTACATCCTCCTCCTACCGCTTCTCCTAGGCGGCTCCTACTGTGACACGGGGCTGATGCCACTTTGCCAAGGCTTCTGGCCGCAACCGTCGTGACATGGGAGTCAATGTCATGACGCTGAGTCTTGTGGCAGTGACTGTCGTGACATGATGGACAATGAGATCCTTGCAGGGGGGACTCTCATGACTTCACAGAGACCATGTCACTGCCCTTTTTCGCAGCACCTACTGTCATGACATAGAGATTATGTTCTTGCAGCGGTGACAGTCATGGCCTGGGAGAAGGCACCGGGCTGGGTCTCCTGGCAGTGACTGTCATGACATAAGGGACTGTCGTGACAGTAGGTAGGACTAATCTGAGTAATTGGGGCCCCCTTTGGGTGGGCTGAGAGAGATATGGCCATAAACATACGGTTTATGACTGGAAGGGGGATCCCTGATGCTATGAAAGACTACATCCCCCAGCATGCATCGCCACCCCGGCCATAGAACGTTTACTCCAGTGGACACACTGCATGCCGGGAGATGTAGTCTCGGCCACCTTAACGCTCCTTCTCACCTCACGGCTACCTGATGCTGTCGCGTTGACCAACCCCCCCCCGAAAAAAAAGTCCCATCGCGCGGCCCGTCACGGCCCCTCCGAGACTCACCACTCCTCCTCAACGACCCCAGAGCCAGACCAGGTGCCTGGCGGAACGCCGCCGAGCCGTTAGAGACAGCGTTCCCGCGCTGTAGCGCGCATGTGCACACCGAGGCCAAGCCAGCGCGCCTGCGCACTCGGGGTGGTTTGGGGCTGACGGGCAGCAGGAGCAGGACGGGGGTTGGGGGTAAGGGCATGTCCCGACCGTGACGCCACCGGGGAGCGGGCCCCGGCCGTTAAATCCCCTCCCCCACCCCCCTTTCCTTCCGCCCCGGCGGCTTGGCAGCCTCTTGTGGGCCCCCGGCCGCTGCATAACACCCCGCGACCTCCCCACGGCTGTTGTCAGCCCCCCCCGGGCTGCTCGCGAGGCCCTTCGCTTTAATTCCGGGAGTCCCCTCCCCAGCTGCGCCTGCCCCACGCCCGCTAACGCGCCCCAGCCCTGTCTGCCACGGCCGCGCCCGGCCGGCTCCTGTTCGCTTTGGGATCCGCCGTCAGGCCTGTCACCCCCCCGCGCGCCTTTTCCGCACTGCTGCCGGCTGCTGCGGGACCTGCAGCTGCGCGCCGGATTTTCCTTCCCAAGGGCCGGGCTCTGCGCTTGTCTCTGCTGAATTCCCTCCAGCTGGTTTCGGGGCTGGGGGGCGTTCGTTTTACTCCCTGTATAGTTGTTCTGAGGTCGAGTGTTCCTTTGCCAGTGGTTAAAGCCGGGGAGGGGTTTCCATCCTTTGTTTCTGGCCGTGACTCGCTGTGGGAATTTAGGCAAGCCCCTGAACTGCTGTGTGACTCAGCTTCCCCCCCACCTGAGCTCTTCCCAGGAAAGACAATATGGCAATGCACAGTATTTATTTATATACTTTCAGTTTCCTCAGCTTTTCTCACATTGGTGGCCCACACAGCGAGACATGTTGAGGGCCAAGGATGGGCTTCTGCTCCTCTGGCCACACCACTCCAAGATCATGTGGCGCTCCCTACACCGGCAACCTCTGCATCCAGAGTGGGCTGCTATGGCTAAAAAGCAGCTGAAGGGCAAAAATCCAGAGGAATTGATATGGCACACCCCAGAAGGAATTGCCATCAAGCCTTTATACTCCAGAAGGGACACAGAAAACGTTCCTGAGGAGCTGCCAGGAGTGAAGCCTTTCACTCGGGGACCCTATCCCACTATGTATACTTACAGGCCATGGACTATCCGCCAATATGCTGGTTTCAGCACAGTGGAGGAGAGCAACAAGTTCTACAAGGACAACATCAAGGGTAAAGCTAATATTAACCTTTCTATCTCTGCCTGCATAACGGCAGCAGCTGGGCTGCGTTCCAGGTTAAGCCTAGCAAGGATAGTGCAGAGATCCTGGAACAACTTAGTCTTGTGTCATAGCCCTATAGGGGACAAATTTGCTGTGGAAAACCTGCTAATTTTTTTTGTCAGTTTTAGTTAAACTTTTAATATTCATCCTGGCACTCTAGATTTAACTATTATACAGTGCATTTTAAATATATTTACATAAGGGATGTAAATACTGTTTTAAAAGTTAACCATTTAAACAATTAAAATTTTTTTTGTTTAAATGGTTAGCCGATATGGCTGGGGCTAACGGTTAAGGCGGTTAACCGGTAAGACTAATGCTTACCGGTTAATGTTTTACATCCCTAATTTACACTTTAGGAATATCCGGCGGCTTAGCTCAGAGCATAGTAGGCAACCCAGTTTCCCAGAGATGACATTTTCAGGTTTTTGAGAGCAGATTTCCCAATATTTCTTCAAAGTGTTAAATTTCCTAACCAATCTCTTCTATACAATGAAATAATATACTGTTATAACAGTCTGGATGTCAGAAGTAATTCAGCCACTGTTGAAATGAGCCACCTGGGCTCATGCTACTACATCTGTTTTCTTGCCCGCAATACAGCCCAAAATTTTTTTGAGGAGAAGGGCAGTATAATTTTAGCAGTCAAAACAATAGTGAAAGTCCCATTAACTAAAAAGTTCCAAATACAGAGTATTTGTTTCACAACTTGTTCTTCAGAAAGGCTTTTTTGTGTAAATGTTGTCCTCAAACCATAGTTTTATCACGGAGCAAGAATGTTACAAATATATTTTTATACGAGTTTGTTTAAGTGGGAGTCTGACCTAGTGGTTGGCAAATGAATTTGTAGTCAGGGTTTTTGGTATTCCTGTTTCTGCCATTGTCATATCACACATTTTCTTCAGTAAGTGGGTATATTAATACTTAACCATCTAACAGGAATGTTTAATCTTGCGTAATTATTTGGAAATACTCAGTGAAAAGTTCTGTATAATTGCACTTCATGGTGGTGGAGTGATGATACTTTCTATCTATCCACAATCCCAGAATTGCTGGATGTTTCTGCAAACATGATCAACAGTGAAAGAAGTGTGTCACATTTCTATCATTAGGCTTCAGAGATAACATCCCCCTTAGATGAATTGGGGGCAGTTCATATCTCTATGAAAACTTAATGTTGAATCTCCTACACAAAGTGCAAGTACAGGAGGAAAAGGAATCCTCCTCTAAACTTAGTGCTTTGACATGGAGAGGTTATATACCCACGTCACTGCCGCTAGTACAGTTCATGGGTTTTAGCAGCAGCTGGTAAGTGGAGAGTGTAAGATTCTGGATACAAATAGCAGTTTATATACTGGCCGCTCCATGATACTGCCTCTGTAACACCATTAAATTCCCCATTCATAAATTCTGTGGCCAGAAGAGACCACTGCCATCATCTAGTCCAGGGGTTGGCAAACTTTTTGGCCTGAGGGCCACATTGGGTTTCCAGAATTGTATGGAGGGCTGGATAGGGGAGGCTGTGTCTCCCTAAACAGCCAGGTGTGGCCCAGCCCCTGCCTCCTATCAGACCCCCCTCCCCCCCGCTTCTTGCCCCCTGACAGCTCCCCCGGGACTCCTGCCCCATCTAACCTCCCTGTCCCCTGATGCCCCCCCCCCCCGGGACTCCTGCCCCATTCACTGCCCCCTGCTCTCCGTCCCCTGACCAGTCCCGGACCACCCACCCCTGTCTGCCCCCTGATGCCCCATCTAAGCCCCCCCTCCGTTCCTGACTGCCCACTCGGGACCACTCTCCCATCCAACCCCTCTGATCCCTGCCCTCTGACTGTCCCGACCCCTATCCACACACCCGCCCCCTGCCCTCTAGCCAATACCCCCTGCCCCCTTACCACGCTGCCTGGAGCATCAGTGGCTGGCAATGCTACAGGTGCGCCACCCAGAGCACCGGGTCAGGCCGTGGCTCTGCAACTGCGCTTCCAGGCTGCCCAGAGCATTGCGCCAGCAGCGCAGTGAGCTGAGGCTGTGGCGGAGGGGCTGGGGGCTAGCCTTCTGGGCCAGGAGCTCAGGGACTGGGCAGGAGGGTCCCACAGGCCAGATGTGGCCCACGGGCCGTAGTTTGCCCCCCTCTGATCTAGTCTGACCTCCTACATAACACACATGACATGACGCCCCACTACAGAGCTTGTTTCTGCTGCCCAGTGGCAGCTCCACTATGTTTTGGGCCTTTTATTCCCTACTTGGTGCCAGCAATTGGCCCTAAAAGCTATTTTTTCATTCTCTGACCACAGATTCAGAGCTGCATTGATGCACATTGAAAACAGGATTATCTTTACCACAGTAAGAGTTAGAAACTTTTTTTGAATGAAAGTTTAAATTCCACAGAAACTAATAGACCTCCAGAGAAGTTTGAAGATAGCCTGTGACGCCACAAATTGGATCAGTTGAGACCTTGACTACATAAAATAAAGTTAATTACAATTCCTAAAGCAAACCTGTTTTACTGTTTGTTTTCATGAACCTAGCTGGACAGCAAGGATTGTCAGTTGCCTTTGATCTGGCAACCCATCGTGGCTATGATTCAGACAATCCACGAGTCCGTGGTGATGTTGGAATGGCTGGAGTTGCCATTGATACGGTGGAAGACACCAAGATCCTTTTTGATGGAATTCCTTTAGAGAAAATGTCAGTTTCCATGACAATGAATGGTGCAGTAATTCCTGTCTTGGCCACGTTCATCGTAACTGGGGAAGAACAAGGGGTGCCTCAAGACAAGCTTACTGGGACAATCCAGAATGATATACTCAAGGAGTTCATGGTTCGAAATACATATATTTTCCCTCCAGAACCATCGATGAGGATCATTGCTGACATCTTCCAGTACACATCAAAGGTATTCTTTATTTTAATTCGCTTCTGTTATATTATTTATGCAGTGCCCAAATGTGCACAAGACACTTTACAGAACAAAGAGAAAGATACCATGGTAGCTAGTAACAAACAATGCAGGATGGGAAGTACAAGGTTTACAATAATAAGATCATATGGCAATGGGGTAGGTACATCTTGATCATTTGGGGAAAATTAGATATTAATCACTATCAGTAGACAGCAAGGAAGAAATGAGATTTAGGAAGGATGTGCATAGTGCACTGGAGAAAGCTTGACAAATGGGGATTGGCAGGTTGTTTTGTGCGTAGAGGTCAGCATGGAAGAAGACAAAGGTAGGAGACAAGGGAAGGCTGGGCCAGAGTGCTGCAGAGTCTTGAATACAAGCAGAAGTTCGATATTTTTGAAATGCAGGACAAGGGGGAGCCAGTGGAGGGATTAAAAAAGAGTGGTTTTAATGTTGGCTGCGGAAGACTGTTTTGGCTGTACCATTTTAGATAGGTTTGAGGGGGACAGTGTAACCATCAAGGAGACCAGAGGATGAGGTTTTAGTAATCGTGGTGGGAGATAATTAAAGCTCAAACAACTAATTAGCTGTTGGGGCAGAAAAGTAGAAACAAACTGGCTATATTAAGGAGGAAAAGCAGAATATCAAGGTGATGAGTAGAGTATAAATGTCTAAGTAGAAGACTTTGGCCAGAAACAAGTTTACTTTTGATTTGCAATTTACAATGAATGAGGTTGTCTTTAAGCATTATGGGCTAG